TTTAAATCAATTTTTAAAAACCGTCCATATATGACGGAGTAATGTATGCATAAAAAAATAACACAAACATCCGAATTGACAACCTCCTCCATTTCGAAGTCGGTTAAAAAATAGCCTTAGTTACTCCTCATGTAGACAGCAGCCTGGTAGTAATATATGAATATCGGTCCAGCCGTTTCATAGGTATCGTGCATTTACTGTTATTTTGACGTTACAAACAAACACTTAATTTGTATAATATGATATATAATAATATATATAATATTTTTATTATATTATATTACACCTGCATTATACCTGATATGTATGATAATTACCGTGAACATATAATTTGTTGTAATGTACTTCTCTGTCATGAAAGTACCGGGAAAAGATCAATAATACACAAAATGTTTGTTATTTATCAAAACTTATTTTATCACTTGCAAAGTATGCTCCTTCAGAAACGATACACTTACGCCAACGAATAATCCAATCATCAAAACATTTTTTAAACGCTGTTTCCGGAATTGAGTTCAGTTCTCGCCGCGAATTCTCCCTTTATGTCTTCTACCGATTGAAAACGGGTGCCACGAAGTGGTAATTTGTGTTCAGGAAAAAGAAAGACGTCGACTGGAACCATATCTGGTGAATATGGTGGTTGCTCGATGGTATTTGTTGAGTGTTTAGTCAAAAATTCGTTCACAATGATGGCCTTGTGCGAAGGCGCATTATCGTGGTGCAAAATCCAAGAATTTTCTTTATACAAATCTGTCGAATTTGCTCGAACGGTTAAATATTTTTTTTATTTACCGTTTGACCTTCCGTCAAGAATTCCGAGTGCAGAACACCACGATAGTCAACATGACTTTGACTTTTGATCGACTTTGGCGTGGTTTTTTCGGTTTCAGTTTGCATGTCAAACTCGTAAACCCACGTCTCGTCACCAGTAACAATGCGTTTCATGAATATTGGGTCGGAATTGACTCGTTCTAGCATGTCCTCAGCGTCTCTCATGCGATAGAGTTTTTGGAGAAAATTCAGGTCTTTAGGGTTTCATACCCAAATGATTACTTAAAATGGTACGGATCGACTCGTGAGATACAGAAAGTTCGGTGGCTATCTCTCTCAAAGTTCAATGAGAATTTTCAGTTACTATTTTCTTCACTTTTGCGATGTTAACTTCAGTTGCAGACGTTGTTGGCCTACCAGAGCGAGGCCAATCTTCCATCACATCTCGACCGCTTTTGAATGCTTTGTACCACTCATAAGCACGTGTTTTTGATAAAGTCGATTCACCGTAAGCCTTTTGTAACATTTTCAGTGACTCCGAACACGAAAATCCATTAGCGATGTAAAATTTAAGACAAACTCTTTGCTCGATGGTTAGTCCATTATGAAATTCGCAATACACACTAGATATGATATAACCAAAAAAAATCACTGTATTTAATATAAATAACAGATTCAACTTAAACTCCGCGCCAAAGTGGAAAACAGCTGTGCCAATATAACAACAAAAAAAAAGCAAAATTTTGAATTTGGAACCATAAACAAATCATCCATTCCCGATACTTTTATGAATGAATGAGTAGTGTAAAAATAGTAAATTAATAACAATCAAAATAAAAATAAATAAAGAGAAGTATACTTAATAACAATAAACTATTTAAATTAACACTACTTAAAATCTATTTTATACCTAATTAACGTTTGTTGCGGGTTGAAGTTAATGAACACTAAACCATAGAGCAACACGATAGGGCCATACGCAGGCGTTCCCCTGTGCCAATGTATAAGTCCAAACGGTCATATGCATACAATAAAACTTACTAGACTAAATCTAATTGCGCTGCTGAGTAGATAACAGTAGCCGACCTACAAAAATCACGACTTGTTCAGGTTTTTGCTTTAAAAAGAGATCTGCCACGTCAAGTTTACAAAAAGATGGCGTTACCTTTCATATGTAAGTAATTTTTAATCAAATTATTACTATTTACTGATTTTGAAACTTAAAATTTACGAAAAAAAATGGTTGCATTGTTTTGGATTTGTTTACCAACACAGGACGCTCGCTCTCATACAATATTGGGCACAATCGGCACAATAATTATTTTAAATTATTAATATTACAATTATTATTTAAAATTATTATTATGTCATTTTATACCTTGTCTGGTCTCCCTTTTATTTTAAAGGGGTAACAAAATCTAACACACGGGCCTTAGCCAAGTGTGCCAAAAAGGGATGATGATATGAAGTTAAGATGATGAGGATGAAGCGAGAAATTTACGTGTGAGACGGCATGTGTTAAGAAGGACTGCTTTTTGTAAGAGTATGAGAGAGTATTATTAAAATTATTATTTTAAATTATTATTATTACCTATTAATAAAAAAAATACATCCATGTCTCTCGTGCATATTATTATTTTCGAGATTATCTTTTCTTATGTAATTAATATAATTATCTGGATTATGAGCTTTATTTTAAGATACTTTAATATTAAAATTGCGCATTTGATTAATCTGATACGATACTTATGACTATTAACACATTAATTTAGAATTACTAAGTGTGAACTACGATCACATTGATTTTATTTTATTTGTTGCAGGTTTCCTAAAGATCCGAGTCAAGGGGGTATATCGAAGAACTTTTATAAAAACTTATACCTTATCTGGATACCTACAAGAAACAGTGTTATTTCAAGACCTCTGACTTTTAAGTGTTGGCGAACAATAGAAGGATAGAACATTCTCAATGAAAAAAAGGTAACTCACAGAAATGTTTTCGCCATATTAGTATAAAATTAATCCAGCTTAAAAACCAGTGTTAGATAAAACTAATAGTAATATCAATGATGATTGTTGTAGTAATAAATAAAGTAATATCTATATTAATATCCATCCTTGTATCACTTTTTAAACCTGATTTCCCTAACCGACGTCTTGAATTTATCGATATTGGGTATCGATAGTTGTCACAGCCACGGTTGTTTGGCAACATGTCAATGTAGTACGTCACTTCCCTACCCCCCCTCCTCCTCCCAGTATGAGTACAGTACAGACTATTTTGTATCGCGAAAAGACGCGAAGGCTGCTCCCCTCCGGTCCGCCGGTGGCCTGTGTTGCTCTAGGAAACAAAACATTTGTTATTTTAGTTTAAACACATTCAACGATTGGCTAAAGTTATCAATGTCTGGATCACAAATTTTTATACTATTATATTGGTTAAGGACAATCACCCATGATTGTTGGCCTAAATTAGTTCTTGAAAATTGTGTGTGGAATACTTTAGTTATAATATGTCTGGGATAACATAATTAATGGGATAAGATAGAAAGAGTGGTCATGTTAAACTTGGAAATCCGTTGGTCATACGGACTCCTATAAGAAAAATTTCGGCAAGACTTCTGGTGCAGGCTGTATGTAACGGAATCTTCGAACGTGATTTTGACTCACGTCAAAACGTTGAATTTAATTGAAACTTCGCACACTTATCAGGAACCGATGACAATTTAATCTTATATATAAAATTCTCGTGTCACAATGTTCGTTCCCGTACTCCTCCGAAACGGCTTGACCGATTCTCATGAAATTTTGTGTGCACATCGGGTAGGTCTGAGAATCGGCCAACATCTATTTTTCATACCCCTAAATGGTAAGGGTGACCCATCCCTAATTTTTTTTTGTTTTGCAATACAACGTTTGCCGGGTCAGCTAGTAATTTAATAAACTTGGCCGATTATCCTGATCAGGATCTTCAGGATTTACAATAGTGTCTTTTGCTACGTACTAAGAGGCGTGTGCTGAAGGACTTACTTACTTGTTACTTTTTTAAGACTTAATGCGAAGATAATCATCATTTATGACAAAAAAAAGTAGAAAATAATTTTCTTTTTTTTTAAACTATAATATATTTTTACTTTTATTTCAAAGAATTCTATATAGAATAAATCATTAGTATATAACAAAAATATAGCAATTATAATATCATTCATCTATCTATATATACTTGTTAAAAATGTTAAGTTTGTACGCTTCAAAAACTCAAAAAGTTCTGCATCGATTTTGCTAAAATTTTGACACGCTACACAACCCGCTTCAAAGATTGTTTTTATTTTATTCGTTTATTATTTCATTTTATCTTATTCATTTCCCATCACAATGTGCCACAGCTTGGCAGGGTACAGCTATTTTACTATAAAAATGTAGTTTTCATTTAGAACTAGTTGTTCATTCGCACTTTCAAGCAAACCAACTCTTTAGATTTATAATATTAAGATAGATTTTAGTGTATACAGTCTTAAGTTGCCTCTCTAGTACCCAATCTTATTATGACTCACACAATTTTGTAAAAGTAATCTACCTGGTTTTTTTTCTTAAATTAAAGGTTAGAAGTAGTGAAATACAAAAAACTCGAAGACAATGAAAAATGCCTGTGATTGTGTCTCATCGAGACAGGCGTCAAACATAAATATTGATAACAAAGCAAAAGGGAACGTTCCATACGTTGTTTATTTAAAACCCAAATTCACGAGTGAAGACATTGTTCAAAAGTAATAAAACGCAATGACTAGTTTAGGGCCAAATAAGAAAATGTATCAAGAATGCCTTCATCGATATTACACTCGCATAGACAAACTACATTCTCCGTTTTTTTTTCTAATACATTCTTTTTTTTTTATTTAATGACCTGGTAACTAAGACCTTTAAGTCAATTCTAATACATTCCAATTACATAAATCAAATTATTTTTAACATTTGAGATATAAAAAGTCTTTAAACTTAAACAAACTTAAATAAATTTAATTCCTTAATTGATGCCGCAATATTGATTAGGTCCTAAGCCAATATTTACCCAATTTATTAATTTAGCCAATATTTATATAAGGCCGAATTGGATAATGACGCTGTACGTATTTTAAAAAAACCCGCGCTTTCTTAACTTCAACTAAGCCTCTTTTATACGGTTAGCTTTATTTAATTATAAAGAAATAATTAAAGTGTCAACATATGTAATGGCACGTGTTACTGAGTTTGAAACATTAGAACACCAATTTTTGGAACTTATTGCTGAATTTCGAACTATTACGGTATGCAAAGATAAATTTTGTAACTGTTCCTACCACTATTTTAGGTCTGTTATTATTAAAATTTTATGTTCAACCAACCAACGAAAATACATTCTAGATTTCGGGGAATCGTTTACGTGATTCGTTACGAACGGAATCGTCTCGCGCTGAGGCAGCAGAAGCAGGTCGCGCGGCTGCTGAACGAACCGCGGCTGAAGCACGGAGCAGCGCCTCTGCCGCCACCGCAGCTGTTAATAAGGCCACTTCAGCACTAGCGAACGCTCAGGAACAACTCACAGGACTTAAGATTCATCTAGAGCTTACGGTAAAACGTGCTTCTAGACAAAAAAAAACACGAGTTTGAAGTACATAGTACATGTAACAACTTACCATAGAGGACACTATGTTTATGACATACTTAACTAAGTGAGCATTAAATGTTAGTCGTAAAACAAGTGTAGTTCGTCAAGTTGTAAAATGGACAAGCACATTTATTTATTTATTTATAATTTTATTTTACTAACCTTGTCAGAATAAATTATACCTATGTAACCATACAAAATTACAGTCTATAGGCTAGGCGCAGGGCGCACGGTTTTGGCGAACTATAGACTTAGGCCTCTACATAGAAAGAAGGTTTTGGTTTACTATACCACGCTGGCCAGACGGGTTGGAATAGAGTTTGTTTCAAGTTTTCATTCTCTTTGCAGTGCTGTTGTCCTGCATAGTTTGCTTCCTTAGTCGGCTCTTACGACACCTATAGGATTAATAGGGAGGAGGGGGTTACTCTCCGTATTCTTAATCTGTCACTACACGAATAGACAGATTTGAGCTTAAAAGATCAGATTCTTGATATCAAATCAAAATCGGACACTTAAATTTAGGTCCAAATATATGCTAATGCCACAGGAACGCCAACGTGCAACATTGGAAGAACGATGCACCCAAATGTCCACACAAATAAATTCACTAGAGAGACAACTTCAACAACTCAGACCCCTTCAACCAGCGCACGCCATGTTACAAAAACAGTATACTGATCTTCAAGAACGCATTCTTAATGCATCCGAAGAAGCGCGGAGGTACGATTTGGAAATAAGTAATTAAGATTTCTACAGCCGTTTTATTTTGTGTACTTCTGTAACATAAAGTATAGCTGAAACCATGGGATAAATGATAGTGCTGGCCGTAAAAACTCAATTTACAGAATAAAAAAAAATGACATTGTGAGTAAATCGCCCCCTTTCCTTTCCAAGAAATCACAAAAGGACCTACAAAATATATATATGTAGGATTAAATTTACTGCTAGAACACCTATTTTAGTATATATATTCTGATGAAGTAGAATTCTGCAAGAAAATTTATAATAATGCATTTCTTTATTTAATAAGATTTTAAATGCATAAAAGAGTCTATCGATCAAAATCTAGTTGAATAGCAAAAATTCTTCTAAATATTTAGAATCCAAACATTTCGGAGCTATCTACAAGTTATCGTCGATAAAGAATGCGAAGAAAGAATACAATATGTTGTAATATCTGTAGAGAATCAAGTCGTCTTGAAAGTGAGCTCCGAAGAGTAGAGAAGTGCAATGCGGCGGGTTCAGAACTACGCGAGCGCGCGCGACTGGCCGCCGCGGCTCACGCTCGCGAGAAGCGACTTGCGAACACCGAACTGCAGCACACTAACCGTGAACTGCTCAATGCCAATGGTACTTTTGTTAAACAAAATAGCTTTGTGATTACAAACGTGTGGAAGAAGCAACGGTTAGTTAGGAACCAACCAGTAGCAATAAATAAGAATCCCTATAAGACATTTGGGTTGTTCAAACAAAGCTTGATGTAAATTAAGGGTTTATGTTTTAATGTCAATTATATGTATGTGCAATATCCCTATCCCTAGCAGTTATCTACGTTTATGGTCACATTACCGCTTCTACTTCAATGCTCTGCCGCCAACCAGGTCAGCCAATAGATATTTCTTAACTATCATGAAGGCAAAATCATATGACGTCAAATTCAGCTGCTTAAATAATTACAAGGATTTGTAACTCACGTTTTTCACACTTTCAAAGGATATCGAAAGGTAAAAAAAACTTTTCCGATAAAAATACAGAATGGGTAGAATTTCTAAAAGTTGCCATTCGTTATCGATATATGTATATTAGGGGTTAAAGTATAAAATTGCCGATTAGAACTCTGGGATCTATATTCGAAGAACTTTGTGTAAGCATTTTGTACTGCCTCCTGGGAAGAAATTATTTTAACACGCAGAAAATTGTCCAAATCTCGAAAAAATGGCACAATATTCGTACAATATTCCTTTATTTCTATAAGTTAAGATAAAGTTCTTAATAACCAATCTTGTATAGATAGAGTATACATATATATATATATATATATATATATATAGAATACCACATTTATTGACATCAATTGATTGTAGCAAATGTTTCCCAAATGACTAAAGATAGTCTCATCGTCGTTAAATTAATTTAAAAATAACACGATTCATCATAAATTTTAATATTAAATTTGTCACAGCGGAAATAAGCAAGCTCAGAGCAACGGTGGCGGAATTACAAATCCATTTAACTGAAGTTAATAAGAACAATGTCATAAGAACAGTTGACCCAAATATAGAAGTAGTGGCTGAAATAAGAGCAGCTTTAGAAGCGGAGCGAGCTGGGACAACCAAACTCGAACGTGCGTTAGCAGCAGCACTCGCAGATAATGCGACATTGGCCTCTCGGCTGCACGCTACTGACAATACTGATGAAGCAAACGATGCCTTGACGCCTACTGAATTAACTTCCACTAACATTTGTCCCATCGATTCCTTTTTGGCTGATTAAATATATATTATAACATCATAAGATTTATTTCAAATATAATATCTAAATATGTTTTGGTACACAATTTATTCTAACCTAATAAAGATAGTGAGTCAATACTCAGTCAATTTAAAGCCTTACAGGTTACACATACTCGAAAAAATGGTGTATAAGATACACAGCTATATTCATATTACATATTAATATGAAGATACACAAATATGTCTCTATAATAAGTTCCTTTGTTCCTTCGAGCCTTTTTCCCAAACTAGCTTGCGGTCGGCTTTAAGTCTACTACGATACGGCTGAACTTCGATTTTTTACGCGGAGCGACTGCTATCAGACCTCCACAACTCAAGTACAAGACCTGGCTAGAATAGCTTCACTTTGCAATGTAACACCTACTCGGTAAGTACGTGAAGAAAATGCTTTGTACCTTACTTTACTACTTTGTACTTTGTACCCCCTTCTAAGCAAATATGGCGCACTTGAACATAACATGTTTGAGACGAAAATCGATCTAAGTGGCGTGCAATGAGAGAACTGCGATATGCTGATGATATGTAGAAGAAATGCACAAAACTCAAATATATATAAACTAGCTGACCCTGCAAACGTTGTTTTGCTATTTACATATTTTTTTTGAATTTCTTAAAATCCGTTCTTAGCTGACCTCTACTCGGTGAAAAGAATATTCCTACTAAATTTCAAGTCTTTAGCTCTAATGGTTCCAGAGATATCGTGATGAGTGACTATATACGTGGAAATCTCTTATATATATATATAGATATATACCTCACACATCTCAAAAACAAATATGTGTATATGTGCTATAAAGCAAAAAATATGTAAAAACGGCAACATAAAACTGTATAGGTCCAGTATACATTTTGACCTGTCATAGTACAAAAATCTATACAATGAGAGTTCAAGCAATACTTGAATAAAACAAGAAATACGTCGACGATCATATCCATACTTATATTTTAAATGTGAAAGTGAGTTTGTTTGTTTGTTACACTTTCACGCCTAAACTACTAAACCGATTTTGAAAATTCTTTCATCAATGGAAAGTTGATGGATGGAAATACTTTTTACCGCGATAACCGACATACGGACGGAGCAGCAGCCAAAAGCTAGTATAATATACTTACACACATTTCAAAACAAAACTTAGAAAATAATAATGTGGGATTAAGGAGCATCATTTATATTGCAAACAGGTTTCATAATCGTGACTTCATCTCAAAAACAGAGGTCAATCTATCCTTAAAAAAATGTTAATGTTTCGACGTGTTAACTACTTACACGTAATAATAAATGGACACATTTTTGAACATGTAACAGTTACTAAACAAAGTCTGTTCAAATTAAAAGTTGGTTTGAATTATTATACATTTTCAAGACTCAAGTTGTATTAAATTATTAGCTCATGATTATTATTTGCTTTAATATATAAAAATTAAGGAGACTAATAAGTTGTTGCATTTCTTTTGGTTAATAATTATTTTGTTTTGGCACGAAAGCATTTAGTTGTTCAGTTTATAAGCAATATTAATGTTCATATACGACTTACACCAATATTTCACTGCCTCTAAATCAGTTGCAGTAGTGTTGCACAAAAACAGGTTTCTATGGATGTACTGCATACTCTGCATGTTTCTCTAACATGCATCATTATTTTTCGACAACACCTTAGATGTGTCTCATGGACCAAATAAAGAAGCAATTTATTGGTAGACCTAATAAAAATTACAATTTTAATTAAAATATGGCCCTGGAAATTCTTAAAGCAGCACACTACTTGTTATATATATATATAGGTACTGTACGCCGACGACATAATAAGTCAACGACGGCTCTCTCTCTTTGCCTTAATCATTAAAATATTCAAGTTATTTCATTCCTGATACTTAAGTGGACTTAATTTGTTATTAATAAATTAATATCGCTGTACGACTCACATATACTACATTTTAACCCTACAACATAAGCCTCAAACTGCAAAGTGCGAAATAAGTGTTCTGCGCACAGGCACAATGTGCAGTGAATTTTCGCAAGGCTTCTACGCGCCCCACCTGCGGAGACCGTATGCGCCCGCGCCGCGCTATTCACTCCACCCTACTTAGTTGTAAAGTGTACGCCGTGCCAACTCTGCGTCGCGCTACACATGCTAATCAAACTATGCGCACTCGAATGAAACGATCTGTGATATAGTGTTAAGTTTTGTATTTAATATAAGTGTTACAAGTATCTCTAGCGTCCATCAGGTAAGCACTGGTAAACGGCATCAAATGCATTGTGAACAGTGTGCGTAATCTCTATTTTTGTACAAGTTATCTGACGTCAAAATTTTAAATGACATAATGCTAAGTTTTTGTTTGCGAGTTAATTTTAAGAAGATATAGTGAGGTGTTCTTAGATAACAACTAGAAACGAATTCTCTTAACCGGGTGTAACTTAAAATCATGCAGTTTTCTAGTTGTAAATACTGATACTGCAGTGATTGTTTTGTCATTTATATATGTAATCAGAATAACTTAGAGCACTGTTGTTGTTTTAACAAGCCTGGAGAAAGTTTTTTACCGCAGTGCACTTCTTTTCTTATGTCGGTAGTTATCTATAGTTCGACTCACAATTATACATATAAATATTAGGATATATCTAGCATTTTATTTCTGTTCAAAACATATTATGTAGGCGAATCTTTTATGAAACAGACATGTTTTGCCATATTTGATGAAAAGGTTGTTCTGCCCCCGCAATGTTCACACAATGAGTAAAGAAACACAAGGACACAAGTTCTGCATTTACTCATACATATGACAAATACATATGTAAAGTCAATACAAGAGAACAAACAGCTCACCCACGACCGATACACTGTCATAAAGAATGCAGAAAAACTATCTCGATACAATATTAATTTTAGTCATAATTTCTACGTTTTTTTTCGTAACAAGTTTTTTTTAATTATTAGTTTACAATAAATATACATACAAATCCGACTAACTAAATGACTAATTATTTCATTATAAATTCTAATTCGCATACGCAGCATGTATACGTTCGTTGTTTTAAAAAGATGCGTAAAAACATAGGTCCTGAAGTATATTCGTTCATATAATTAAATGAGCAAGCATTAAGCGTATAGAATACTTTTAAAAGAATAGAGGCCAATTTAATATCATATAGAGCGGAACTATTCAGAAGGTTGTTAAGATTTCCTTCAAGAAACTCGCATTGAAGTGAACTAAGTTAATGAGAAAATTAAGTGTATATTTACATACACCCAACACAATGTTTGGTAATTAGTGGGTAAAATCTCTTACGTATTTTTAACGTAAATGTATTTAACGTATTTCATTAAAGTCACAAAGTTATTGCATATTATACTTAAATATGTTTAATGTAATGCATGTAGCTGTGTAATACTACAGATACTCACTACAAGACATACATATCAATGATCAATGTCAAGTTACGTCGCTATGTATTCTAACATTTAACGTCTGTGTTTTGATAAATTTTTCAAAAGGATCAAAAAGGTTCCTAAAATTCCATATAAAGCCATACTAGTCCATACTTCCATGCTGATATTATAAATGCGAAATTGTGTCTGTCTGTCTGTCACTCTTCAAGCTTAAACCGCTGACACGATTTAGATGAAATTTTATATAAAGATAGTTTGAGTCCCGGCAAAGGACATAGGATAGTTTTATTCCAGAACCGATTACATATATACATATCCAATAACCGCTGAACCGATTCAGATGAAATTTGGTATGGAGATAGTTTGATTCTTAAAAAGGGGCATTAGCTACTTTTCACCGCGATAACTGACATTTTTTTTACAGTTTCTTTGCTAAAGCCAGTCGGAACGTATCTATTTGTTATATCAATAATTAAAATACAAATACATAGTAACCGCAAATGTTGTTCTGTCAACATTTCAATAAAAAAAATTGTATTTAGAAACACTTTGAGTTATATATTTTTCTTTCCTTTAAGGTTATTAAGATAATCCAATTAATAAATATCTCGTGTCACAGTGTTTGAGGTGCACTCCTGCGAAACGGCTCGACCGATTTTAATAACTGTTTGCCGGGTCAGCTAGTAACTTATATAATAAATACATAATTAGTCAAATCAGTCTAGCCGTACGCCAGCAATTGGATTACCCAAGAGTATCAGTTCAATTTTATTTAATACATATTATAGAAAACTAAAAGAAAGTAAAAAAATAAAACTGTTCTAAAGTACATAGTTACTGTAAATTACATGCATTTTAAAGTGTATCCTTAAAATCATTTGATAAACTGTTGCAGGCTTTCTAATGAACTGCAATATTATCTCCTTATTATAGAACCATCCAACAGATTTCATAATGAACCGAAGAGATAGGATGAAATGAAAGTTTGTATACAGAAACCAACTTTTAAGCAACTTACAATCCGGCTTCAGGCCCGTTCACAGCACAGTTACCGCTCTCCTTAAAGTGACTGGCGATATTAGGAAGGGCATGGAAGACACCAGAGTCACAGTATTAGTCCTAGTTGACTTCTCTAATGCCCTTTAATACCGTCAATCACGAAATTCTGTTATCTAACCTTACTTATCTTATTGTTCCTTCTGAGACACTGGAATAGTACTCCACCTATCTTCTTTGGCGACAGCAGTTTATTCGTATTGATGACTCATGATTAAGTTAGTGAGACCTCTACGCTAGCGTCCCACAAGACGGAATTTTCTCTACTCTTTTATTTTCAATATTTATTAACCTCATAACTCAACATCTTCAGTGTGCGTATCACCTGTATGCTGATAATCTGCAGCTTAACTCACAGGCAAGGGTAGAGAAAATACCGCAAGCTATTGAACGCAGAAAGTTATCCTCAAAGTTTTCTACCACCTTCCGTACCACTACACCACACACTAATTATACAAAGACACTAAAGTCCTTATAGTACGACAGCTCAGACAACATAGCCTATTGAATTATAACCCATCATTTCCTATCAGCAGAATCCGGTAGATCGACTCCAACACTCCCAATGCACTGCACTGCAATGCAATTGCAAAGCGCTTTTTCTGTCATCTAGGAGGTTTTCTCTATAATAAAATAAACGGCACTCCAGGCATATTTCACCTAACAAAAAAACACTGCAAAACGAAAGTAACGAATTGGCTCCAAAAACTCAATTACAGCGAGGGAGAAAATATCCCGTGGTAGTGATACAAAATATAGCAACAACGTACGTATATACACATACACACACACACTAGTACACATACACACGCACACACACACATACGTACACACGCACGCACAAACGAAACCTAATCTACAAACCTACAAAATTGTTAAAAATAAATCCTAAAACTAGCGAATGCAATGTTGCATTCAAGATAATTTAAAGAGGGGAAGACCCGGTGACCTGAAATACAGGCGAAAAGCCTACCTAAGGTACCAGTCTCCCACAGTATTAATTTCCATTTTTGTTATTGTTGTGTTATGATGATGTGGTGAGAAAAAATATATATTATTATTATTATTGACGAGGTCAACAGGGACCTTGAGGTTATAAAGTCCTGGTCGATGAGATTTGGACTGTCGGTTTATCCAACCAAATGTCAGGCGATCGTAGTAGGCAGCAAACGTATAATGAGCAGATTTGATACTCCCTCTATCTCACCGATTGTCTTCAATGGTTTAATTATTCCATTCAGCCCTGAAGTCAAAGACCTGGGCTTACTCATCGACTCAACACTCGAATGAGACAGAAAATAACTGGCAATTTGCGAATATTTTATCGTCCCAAGAATTTCCTGCCTCCTGAAACTAAAACTACACGCATGCAGTCCTTAATAATCCCAATAATTCGCTACGATGAGGTGTGTTATTTCGACGACCTTCTTAATAAGCTAGACTGTCTTCTCAATAACTGCATTTAAATTTCAAACTTCGGAAGTATGACCATATATATATGCCTGATTTGCGTTCCCAATTAAAATGGTGGATTATACACGCTTGCGCCGCAAACAGCGTGCACCTGTTACCTCTCCATTTTCATTTCTCAACTCACCATCATCACCTACTTACCTTGCTCCCTACTTCCTGTCCATTAACCACGACAGAAATCACTCACACAATTCCGAGTTCATGAGCTCTTCGTTTTTTGTCAAGCAGTACTTGACCGAATGATTTCCAGAGTAGTACAGTACACGAAGTCGGCTCGAAATCATTATGTCCACAAACCGCTTTATTTTCAAAAAGAAGGTACATGATCTCCTTCTTAACGAAATGGCAGAACTAACTAATCCATAGTATACCTCATATTCCGGTATTCATAGTGTACGAATATAATATGTCTTTGTGTTGTATATGTGTATGTATAAGTTCATGTATGTAGCGAACCTTATATATATTCTTTATGTTACTTAATATATTAAGACGTAACCTCCGTGCACCTACCTTACAAGATTTCTACACCACCCAAAGGTTGACTGGAAGAGGATACCCTGAGCATTCAGTCCGACGATGTACAAAAGTGTATAAAGTTAAATAAATAGAGATTACCGTAATATTGTCTAGTTTCAGTTCTGTTTTTGTAATAGGCAATGACACAGAAGCACATGGTAAACAGATGTCATTTCTAACACTACTACCACACTTGCGTTATCTATTTTGTTAAATTCCTTAAAAGCTCCACACTAACTCATAAAAAAAAACTTTGGAAGGAATGAGCTTCTTTTTTCTGATATAAAGTCTAAAAAGCCATAAAGCATCGAAGTAATGGAAACAACTCCAACAAATAGGAACTTGGGATTTCTTTTAAAAGTAGCTTAACTAAACAATATATATACTTCACATCTTGGTACCTAGAACACCTTGTATATTTGTACATATTACGTAGGTATAATGCTTGCTTTGGGAGAAGGGGTCACAATATTTTTGATATTCGTTTTAACAACGTAATGAGATAAAATAATATGTTTATGCAATGTACTAGTTTCTATATACCCAGTAAAGTTCTGGTTCCATCATTAATCAAAATACAACCAGTTGCATTACGACCTGACTTATTTGTATAGTTCATTTATTAACCAATAATTTGAATACTTATCAAGTTTATTCTCTTTATTTAACGAGTTGCCGCCTTCCTTTTTATTTGTCATACTGTAGATACCGCACCGTGCCATAGAACCAGTAAAAACAAATGAAGGAAGCCACTGATAGTTTATATCCTATAGTAGAGGATGTCTTATGCAACTTTCTAATATCTTTATTGGATAATCCCCATGGTACCATGTTATATCATTATTATAGAATGCCAAATTCCAACATGTAATACAAACGTAATGTTTCCTTTCTTTAGTAGGGTCACGAGAGTTTTAAAGTGTAAGAGGAGGAGGCATAGGTAGATAGCTGTTAACCGATTTGAATTTATAGAAAAAAATATAATGCATTCCATGTGTATATCTGCGTGTTTACCAACTTCCGAGGAAACAACGTTAAACTTACATTCTGATGTTACAAAAATAGTTCAAACAGAGGTAGGTAGGTAAGAACGGCTTCTATTTAAAGTTTGTTATAGAAGTACTTAAGTTATAAATATATATGAAACAAACAGCTTTCCAATTTTGTTTATGAAAGAATTAGAGATTATACTAAAATATTATCTGCAATTACATGAATTGAGTTACGAGCAAATCTTTATTAAAACAAATATACACTTTCTCTTTTACTGCTATGCTGGTGCGATTGTGAAATACTTGAGTAAGACCTGCATACCTATAAAACATAAATGCCATGAATTTGTTTAATAGTTATCTTTTAAAAAACCGTACCCGCATCAGTACAATTAACTTCGCCACTCAAATTTACGGTAATATATTTAATTACTTTTTAAATATTTTGCGTATGACCCTCAGAAAATAACATGAAACAACGCGTAACAACAATTCAAGAAACAGTACAGTAAGACTCCAGACATTAAGAATCCTCTACTTTTTGTTTGTTAAAAAAGAACAACTGCCTTGTTTCTCTATAATGTATAACCGATGATTTTAATTTTCATATACCCACTGTCACTCTCACAATTAAGACAAATCTAACGACACCTCCCAAGCCAAAATCCATCAAGCATTCAAGCCGTTTAGACTACAGAGCATGCTAAATAAATATTCTTACACTGGAAAAACACAATCCTTCTTCTACCGCAGTTGAGTAAAAACAAGAGCAATAAGGATTAGAATGTTATTAAATTCTCCCCTTTTAGTTTTAATTTAAGGAATTGATCTTTATTTTACTCCTAAAATATTTATAAATACATATATAAAAAATTAAATACTGTTTTATATAATATAACTGACATGAACTGCTATAACACTCTTTTTACATATCTTTAAATTGTTTCTTCTTAAAAGCTGTTTAGGAAAATAATAATCTCTTTATGTATAAGAATGAATATAAGGCAATTATAATTATCTTATAGTAGCTGTTCATATAATATTTTTATATTAAGTACAAAATATTTCTTTCAGAACCATGATTCAGAAATTTGGAGTGTGCGTCTTCTTCGTTGCTTTGACAGCACCCCTTGTACAATGGTAAGTTTCTTGAGTATGTACCAGATACACAGAAAAATAACGGAAAAGAGAATTAATGTATAAACACTATCATGTTATATCTACTTTATTGGAAAAGTATATACATAAATACCTACCCTTCACATTATTTATGAACTTACCGAAAAATTAATACATTTCGACAACATTTTCGCATAAATTTAAAGTTTCGCATAAATAATTATTTTAATTTAAAATTTAGACATGTTTAACTTCTTTTTTTATCTTATCACGTTTAAGTCTTTTTCTAAAATAAAAACAACTCAAAGGAACTCAGTTTTTAGCGCCGAACCGCCGTACAAGGCTGTAGAAGCAATGTCTAAGGAAATATAGAGTTTATTGAAAATTGCATTAGATTAAAAGGAACTGCAAAATAGTGGTGGATAGTAATTCGGAAAGATTAAAAAAAAGGTCTATATAACGTAACATTTACAGATTTCGTAAAACAAGTATTAGCGAAAGACCTATCTTTCAACTAAGAACAATCTTTCAAATTAAGCTTAAATAGATTCGATAATATATGCTCGTATATAAAAGGTTCATTTACTGACATTTGTTTTTGCAGTTTTTTAGACACGTATTATTTTTATATCCACAGTATATCCGTGATAGGGCCTCGTGCACTTCGTCCGTTCAGCTCATACACAGTAGCAATAGCGGGCAGCTCCAGATCCTACAGCCTGTATGTGGCTATAGAAGGTCGTCGGGCTAACGGAGAGCAGTACAACCTGGGACGCGAAGTTCAAGTGCCGGCGGCTACTTCTAGGGTCATAGAACTTGAAGTAAGTAGCTAAATGTTCACAGTTTGGTGGCTGAATTAAAAAAAAAGACAAATATATGAATCACATTAATTGACTCTGCTTCTTTTTCTACTTGGGGCGCATTACAATTTAAAGTGTTAAAGTTTCTTAACGTCTAATCGCAAAAATATCTTATGGTTCTAAATGTAAATAATAATTCTACCATGCAGTAGAAATTGCTGTTTATACTTTTGAGATGTATGGGGGCTCGGTTAAATAAAAAGAACTGTTCACGTTAGCTTCCACAATTATAATAATATAAAAGTTAAAGAATTACATAGTGCAATTCCGAAACACAACATAAGCAATAATTTGAGACAGTTGAGACATCGTTGTAAAGAAGTTTACTTACTGAATAATATAAAGGAACTTACATACACTACACTTTTGATTAGGATCATAACCACGTTATTTATTAATATATTTTCCTCAACTACAATAAAACTGTATTTTTATTACCACAGTAGATCAAACAGTATTCGTTTTATCTATTATAGAGGTAAAACTTAACTCCCACAACATATGAAATACAAGCCGCCGAACCGCACTTATATCCTATCAATGATTTTCCCACAATGGATCGTGACAAATCTATTTGCTTGTAGATCGGTGACCCTGGCCCGGGACAGTACGCGCTAGTGGCGCGTTCAACCTCAGGTCCGCTATTCTCATCTTCGGCCTCATTGCTCTACCAGCCGCGAAGTTTTTGCATCTTCGTGCAGACAGACAAGCGCGTATACCAGCCCGGAGACACCATAAACTTTAGGGTCATCGCTTTGGACAAGTAAGAATAATCTTCCTTGAATGTAGCTGTACTTGCATGCGATGTGACAGGAAATGTGTATTTATCATTGTTTAGAGAGCCTTCATTCTTCCAATATTATTCTACTAATGTATATTGTCAATATTTCATATTTCTTAATGATTCTATGAACAAGTTACATGAGGACAAGTACCAATGTCTATTTTCAGCGATATATCCATAATTTATTAGAACTCCTGCAATAAGTTTTGTAAACAATTAAAGTAATTGGTTTCATAGAAAGTTCATGTCTCGACAAATAAGGCACTCGAGAAAACCAACAAGTCTCACTAAACCCATTAAACAAAGTAGATGCCAATAGCGAATTTTACGATGCCGTCAGACAGACAGTAGGTAGTTATTACAATAACGTACGTACGTAACGTAACTATCGATTGTTTTTTTTACTGGGCACAAATGCGCCCTTGTTCCATTTAAAGAGGATAACGAGAATCAAACAATATTAGGTAACTGTAGTCGGTAGAGTATCGGCAAGACACTTTCGTTTTCCGTTCCATCAATGATACAACGAGAGTTCGTGCGCGTAAGATTACGTGTGATTACAAAATGGTCGTTGACCCCGTGCTCATACGCAGATACCTGTTGCCGCTGTCGACGACTGTAGATGTCAGTGTGCTGGATAGTGGAGGCTCACCAATAAGACAGTGGGCTGCTGCTGACCTCGACCGGGGAGTACTCACTCAAGAATTAGTCCTCGCTGACGAACCAGCACTAGGAAAATGGACTATACAGGTAATGAAGCGAGCAAAGTGTCTGTATTATTGTTGAATTTTGTATCAATTAAAATTGTTGTAGCATCAAATTACTTAACACATGACTGCAAAATACACAAAAAATACTCGTACTATTCGCATCATTTTATTTTGTAGCACCAGTTACCTAATTTGTGTATGGTGTTCTTACATTTTTCTATAGGTACTTAATTGATGTCAGTTATAAAATAAGTTCACGTTTAATACATTCATCATGATGCACAGATTATATTATTAAATCGTGATAAATTATGTTTGTATCTTACTTGTTATGTAATTGAAATACTATTATAGTAATACTCTAGAGATAGATCTAATGATTCTAGATATAAATAGATAGATATACATACTCTTTTCTTTACTGCACACAAACAATAAAATAAAACATTTTCATCGCTCAAATCTAATGTCTACAACTCGAACAGAAATCTTCTCAAGTTCTGAAACTGACAGGATATTTGGTATCTAATCAAGGCCAATGATTCTGAGATCTGTTAATCACATCACACATCATCATCATCAGCCTTTAATGGTCCACTGCTGGACATAGGCCTCTCCTTAGAAAGGAGATTTTGGCCTACTATACCTACTACGCTGGCCAGACGATTTCGTGTAGGGTTTGTTTCAAGGTTTAATACTCTTTACAGTGCTGTTGTCCTACGTAGTTTAATCTTACGACACCCATGGGATAAATAGGGGTGGCGACACTCCGTATTCTTAAACCGTGACCACACGGAGTCTGTCGACATCACTCTGTCAATACTACACAGCAATAGCAAATTCTTGTGTTATTGTTGATAAAAGCGATGTGGAAGCGACGGGAATACGGTCCTAATGTTAATTTCCTAGGGTGTTCAAAAGTATTACTCTTTCTAGTATTTTAATATTTCAAACTTACTAAGTATCAACAACACCGGAAATGTTACTAACCTCGAAAAAATAGCTGGCCGCGTTTAAAATGGCCTTTGTGATACGTCGACAAAAATTTGCGTAATTGTTGGATAACAGGTGGAGGCTCGTGGGCAGAAATACTCCCACGACATACTGGTGGCCGACTACGTGCTGCCCAAGTTTCATTTGGAGATGCACTTGCCCAAAGAGGTGCTGTTTAGCGAAGGACGATTTGACATTAACGTCACTGCTAAGTACGTTTTAATTTTAAATTCTATTTAAAATCAAATATCTGTCAATATGGGTTATCTAACAGCCATTTAATATTTTCTTATGAAACACAAAACACCAGTTTTATACTTTGTAATTTTATACTTTATTTGTTGTTTTATACAACTATGGAAGTCCTTCAAATCTCGTATAGTAATATATTAATAAATTACACACATCAAGTATTCAAACATGTATTAAGACGTATATAAACATACAATATAAAGAGGGACAACAGAAGAGAAAAACATTTAAAGAAAACTTTAAGTTTGTTCAAAGTAGCATGATAACATGCTTAATACTCGTAAAGACGGCTTTTAAGACAAAATAGTAGGCAAAAGTCACATACACTTTTTTTTACCATAACTAGTTATGAAAGAATGTTACCTCATCTAATTTAGTGGATAAAATTAGCAGTCATTATAAGAGAGGCACATTAACATAACAAACTAGTTTTTTTCGATTGCCCATTGGTTTCAAAATAAAAATCAATTGAGTTCTATTATAAACCGGAATGAGATAACCACAGCGTTCCACTCGAAACAAAGCAATTTTCACAATGAAAGCTGTCAGTTCCCATTATTAAGAAACATTGGAGAAAAACTCATCAATGGAATTCAATAGAACAATGATTACATAATAAGTAAAAACCCTTTGTAGATGTAATTCCGTAACGTTGAGATGTCAATTTTTATCTAAATCATTAACATTTTTTATATAGTTACTTAGAATGCTGTAGTCGGAAAACTAAAGCAATATCAACAAGCGCTGCTTTACAAATTTATAATATAAATATACCTATAATATAATATACCTCACACATCTCACACAAATGTCTAAAACACAGTTTTAAATATCTTTTATTGTTTTCACTTGTACCTTATACGCAGACATTTCAACGGTCATCCGGTCCGTGGAGAATTAACAATATCGGCGTATCCAGTATTTTTCTCTGGACTTCTGCAACCTGTAGTAGCGGCTCCTACGCGAAAAGTGGTTGAAATCAACGGTCAGACCGACGTAACATTTGATCTCAAGACTGATCTCGATCTAGCTGAAGATGCCGCAAGACCGCTTGTCGTCGAAGCTGTGCTAGAAGAAAAAGATACTCTTATAAAACAAAATATATCATCAAGGATTTTGTTATTGAGAGCTCCATATAGATTGAGAGTATCAGCTCCAAATTACTTTAAACCTGCTCTTCCCTACATAGTACAGGTGGTTATTTCTCAATTCTTTTTTACTAATTACACTTTTAACAAAGAATTGTATTTTTACTGCAAACTTAAAAATATTTTTCGGGGACTTCAAAGGATGTCAACACACTTGTGACTCTAGAGTTACACGTGTCCATGGGCGACGGTAGCCGCTTACCATCAGGTGATCCACCTGCTCGGTTGCCTCCCTATGCCATAAAAGGAAACCTAGGCTACCCTTCATTTATTAAGTATGAACTGAGAATCAAACTCATCATTCCCTAGATAGATAGATATATGTAAACCCGTAACGTAAATTATATTCTGTCATTGACAACGGAAAGTTCACTTCTTTCATTTTATGTACAGGTAGAGGTAGTAGACCCTTCAGGACAATTAATAAACACGGACGGAGAAGTGACAGTGGAAAGATTATGGGACGATGGTACTCCCGCTAACGTCACACAAATACCTCTGAACAAAGGCATCGCTACATACACTTTAGTACCAGACAAAGGACACGTGAACTCCACTCTCAACCTATTGGTAAGAGTTTCAGATTAATATATCTAATAAAATGTAAGTAGTTCTAAAAGGAACGCAGTAAAATTTCATTGTTTTCTATTCGTCAAATATAAGAATTTCTTTAAGAAACCAGTATCTGTTATTGTTAATCACACCCCAATCATGCATCATCATATCATAAATGTCAAAAGCCCATGCGAGTTTCTCACTAAATCACAAAACATTCTTGCCGTGAGATTCTGAAACATATCTTTCGTATTCAACAGGAATTCTTTTCACTTTAAATTAGAATAATTGGCTGGAAAGTATCTTTGCACTTTAAATTAGAATAATTGATTTAGATTAATTGAAACGTGCGAGCTTTCAATTTTTCAATTTATTAAATTAATCTAGAAATACTAGTAGTCGGATATAACTAAAGACAGAACTTCTTAAAATAAACACTAAATACAGTATTTTTCTTCAACGACCCTACCTCTAACGACGTGTTTTGTTCACTTGTAAGCAACGGCGTATCTCGTCAATATTTTAGAGAACAAGACTATTGCGGAATGTCAAACCAGTTTTCAGATTGCCGTTATGTTATTCACTAAGACCCATACCGCAAATGCAAATATAAATGCACATCACTAGTTTAGCAAACTATAAGCTATAAAGAATATCTACTAGATAATTAATACGGCGACAGCAAACCGGACTTATTTACTACAATGGGAAATAGTGTAATAATTATGTTAAAAAGGTGACATAAAAAAACTAGTGGTTAGTAAAGTAGGATGATTACCAGCGGAGCAGGTCCCTGACGTGAGATTAAGATTCAAAACCTCATGAATCGCTAGAAAAGCAATAATAAAATTGTTACATCGTACACTTTTTATATATATTTAGTATATTTAGGTAAAAGCATACATATATAAAAAAATATTTAAAGAGAGAAGTACACCGATATTCAGGGATGTTTTAGATATCACAATCGACTAGATAATCTCCTAACTGCGGTGATCTTCGTGTACCTACACAATCACTCATAATTTATTTTACATTTATTGCTCTATGTAACAAAACTATGTATAACAATTATATACTAGCCTAAATTGCATTTAATAGTTTTATTAGTCAATAAGTCAATTGAAGTAAGTTCTCACTTTACTTATTTTATTCACACTCACCAAAAGAATAGTAAGTTGCAGAGCCGTGTATGGATAGAGCGAGGAGCCATTTGGTGAACACTCATCTCTCGGGTTACTCTATGATCCAAAATGTTATTGATAAATGTGTGTATAATTACATTACACATTCGAGCGTTTTAAATGATCAATTTACTTGTAAATAATTATCTTTGTAGATAAAATATAAGGAGGTAACAGAGCGCGTGGTGCACGTGCAAAGAAACGAGTATACCAGCCAGTACCTCACTGCTGAGGTATTAACGCGGAACACGAGTGTCGGTGATGAAATGCGGGCACGAATCACAGCCACTGAACCTATGGACCTGGTTCACTATGCTGTAATTGGCAGAGGAGACATCATTGTTGCTAAGACCATAGAGGTTGGTTTCCAGTAATAATAATAACATTTTTATTTTCCACCACAAAGTATTTAACAGATACATACAGATTAAATAGTAGTAAGTTTCATTACTTGTACAAAATTTTAATAGAGTAAACTTTCTATTCCTCCGTTTATTGCACTAATCTTATTTATTGTTGTACAGTATTCATAATAAGGGCAACTACATCATATCGTATCTATTTCAGTTAAGTCCAGCTCGAAAGAGCGTGGATGTAACAGCGAGTGTGACGTCACGAATGGCTCCCGGCTGTATATTCCTGGCGTGGTATCGAAGTCTCGAAGCTCCACGTAACAACTTACTGTCTGCAGCTGTGTATTCGCCACAAAAGGACATATTGCAAAATCAGGTAGAGTAACAAAAACAAATACAATCAACCTTTCACGTTTTATCAGTGGCAGTAGCTTCTTCTAACAATAGTTGTCATAGGTCTTTGACCAGTGCCACCTATAATATAGTGTACTGAGATCGTAACACTGATAGTGGTAGCTAGTCCGAAAATAAACAGTTGTATAGCGCACTCTAAAGTGAACTAAAAGTACGTAACGTATAGGTACTTTTTTTATTACTAAAATCTTTTTTTTTTGTTATTTAAGCAATAAATTTCTTATTAAAAGCTGGATTTTAATTATTGTAAGAAACAGTAGTAAGTAATATTAGCTTAAGTGCTTTTGAAAAATTATTTGATTGTAGGTATTGGTATCACCTGTGTCTACAAACGGCGCATCACCAAAGCCGAACACGTTAGTAGAGCTCCGTGTTTTAGGCGAAGCGGGAGCTCTGGTGTCGCTCTTGGCTGAAGACACGAGGTCGATAGATGCGGGAATAGCGCAGTCGAATGCACTCGGAAGCGGCCTCGATATCAACAAGGTCAGCTTGCACTTTAAGTGACCTTAACCATGCATAGTAAAGATGCACACTTATAGTAAAATATTGTTTAAATGAGTATATTATGCCCAATTTTATTTTTTTCATTTTTTACATTGTTCAGAAGCGCCTCTTACTTGGTATCTGCTTTTTTTGCTAAAATTAAACGTGATCTAAGTCGTACAATTTGTTGTCTACTACCTATTGGTTTGAAATCCATAGTTGTTCTGCATCCGTAGGTATATATGCACTTATAACAAGGTAACATTACAATCAAGATTTAATGTCATTACTATAAACTGTAATACAAGAGTTTTGAGTGTAATGTCTGTAATTCTTAATGTTAAGTACTTATAATATATGTTACAGATCGAGCGCGAAACGGAAAGTTTTAATAGTTTGCCACATTCAGTTTTTAAAAACGAAGATCATCTATCGAGCTCTGGAATCGATTTGGGTGGTTTCACAACATCAGATGTTTTCAAAGTAAGTAATCCCTGCATCCATATTCATATTATAAATGTAAAAGTGAATTTGTTTGTTTGTTACTCTTTCACGCCTAAACCACTAAACTGATTTTGAAAATTCTTTCACCAATAGATTACATTATCAGCGAATAACATAGGCTTCTTATTAGGAATGGAAAAAAATCGCAATCACCTGTGATAAATCATACGAATCATGAATCATATAGTCCCACATGTGACTAATTTACAAACCACTGCGACTTATTCTTATTATTACGCTAGCGCCAGACTCGCGAAAGGTTTAAACTAAAAAGAAAATTTGATTGATTTTGATAGCATTTATCTTTGTCCATGACCAAATCAAAATCACAGATGAAATCGCAGTAACTAAACCCAATAATTTCATCATGTGATTAAGGTTTAAAAGTAGCAATAATCTCCATGTCTACTATGTACTTTTACCACGATAACCGACTACACGCGGGCGGAGCCGCGGGAAAGTTTGTTAGAATACAAGAACAATGTACTTCATAGCCTTCGCATGCAGCTGCGTTTGCGGTAATGTCGATTTTATTAAAAAATGTATATTATACCGTATGCAATGCATTTATAATTAGAGCGTGAAAGCGCAACAAAAAACTCTCTTTCGCATTTATAATATTATTATTAATCGCATAGAGTGTTGGTCCATTTTTTTAAGTCTACCAGGCCATTTAGAAAGATTTACAAATAGTTTAAAAAAAAAAATCTATACCATATAAACTGCATAAGTAGTGGTAGAAACGGTTAAATAAAAGTAATTAGGTCTATAGAACATCATAATGCTCATAATAATTACTCTAAAACAACACGAATAGTACTTATTGGGGTCTATGCGTTCACTTAGCATTTTTTGTAGGATGAAGTGAAATGACGGCATTTAGATGAAGATAATATGCATATTATAATATAAATATTAAAACTTTACAAGTTTACTGTTACTTTCAGAACGCTGGTGTTGTGATCCTTACTGATGGCGTAGTTGTCAAAAATAATCAAGATGGTAAGATCTTCAACAAACGCAATTTTTTAATTGTGCGACAGCTCATTGACGTCTCTGTAAACGGTTGTTGTGGCATAACTTAGGGGAGGCATATGTCCAGCTGTGAACGTCTTTCGTCTAAGAAGAAGAAGAACGCACATGTTGAGTCAAAGTCCAAAATCTAAGTAATGCTACAAAAATCATACGAAGCCCCACATTTAGTTCTGTGTGCTTTCGATTTACTAAAAAACGTGGCATGGCCCCTGGTACTGATTATTATATCCTTCAGACTATCCCAAATAGTATTATTTTTAATCATGTTGATATAGTTCTTACTAATATGTACTTAATATGTTTTTAGGATCCGTTTCTTCACCAGCTCCAGTAGAGACAGGCACGCGACCTCCCCTTGCCGGTCCTTATGCCTTCAGTCGTCTTCCCCCTCCACCCTCACCTCGATACTACCTCACAGTATCTCCACAACCTACCTGGATGCTAGCTAATCTTACAATTGGGTAATGATTATTTTATATTTGTGTATTAATACGTCAAATATCCACCTACAGTGTACAACAAATTGCCATGTTTTTGCAGTAATGATGGAAATGGTGCCAAAGAACGTTGGACAGCAGAAACACCAGGCGAATTCTCTATAGGAGCATTTTCTGTACACCCAACCTTGGGTCTTGGTTTGGCTACCCCACAAAAGTTCACCACCTCAGTACCATTAGCGCTAGATGCAGAACTGCCTTCTAGTCTCCAACGTGGAGAAACTGTGGCTGCAGTGGTAATATTAAAAACCACTCTCGCTGTAGATACGCCTGTCGAAGTCACTTTCTACAACAGCGATCAGTATTTCGAATTCGAACCTCTCGATAACGAACTCGAAAATGCGAAAAGTGAGTACACATCAATTAACATCTAATTACTATTTTACGAATTATATTAGAAAACCTTTTTAGCCATTATCTACTATTAGTTATATTTAGCTATCATACTATCTATAATAATGAATATTAGTAGTAGTAGAGTATTAGAAAGGATTTAGTATTAAAATTTAGGGGTACTGTAAATGATTCAACAGCTTATTTTAATTTTTATTTTGATATTGACATCAAATTTTATGACATAATTTGCAAAGGCGATAAATATAACGCCCATACATACGAGAGAGCTCTCATGTTTAGTAATGATATGGTTTACAGAAATCGAACTATTCCGACGAATCCGAGTGACAGTACCAGCTCGCGGTTCCATCAGCACAGCATTTCTTGTAACAGTAGTCCGAAGTGGTGAAGCGCCCGTCATCATCGAGGCCAGCGGCAACGGCGTTTCCGCCTCACTCTTCCGAACGATCGCTGTCAAGGTGATATAAAAACATTTTTTTACAAAAATTCCTGCATAAGCGGTGAGCCATAATGACAATTATCAATCAGAGTTCCCTTCGAGACTTCTCTATCCTGCTAGATAGCAACAATAAGCTTTACACCATATAAAACTGTTCATCTGTAATTCATGTGCATGTCTACAATTTATGCATTTGATGTCTTTCTATATGATATTGAGAGTACTTAGTTCTTGATTTCTCATAGTAAACCCATTTCAAATGATAAAAAATACTTCAAATATGTAACATTACTATTAAAATGTCTCTGTCTACCCCTTCGTCGATGGAGACGTGAGTGTTTCTTATGTACCTACTTAAGATTTAAATTATAATGAAAACTTTGAATCTTTTATTATGATGGAAGTACATTTTTGTTTAATATTCAATAACATGGTTTTTTGATATGCACAAATTTCGATTCTGAAATTAAACGCCGGCAAATTAAAATCGGTTTGTCGGAGTTTAATATCAGAATCCAAATTTCACATCAGTACCTACCTACCTACCTTATTTCTCAGGATGGATATGAAGAAGATCTTTGGGCATGGAGCTTGCTGGATGCTCGAAAAACTGTAGCGAGAGCCAACGTGACTCTGAATGTGCGTCCTGGTGTGAAAGCTGGAGCCATATCGCTCCGAGCTACAGGGGACCTGCTGGCGTCGGCATTGCAAGCAACTAAGGCACCAATCGCGCCCTCCGCAGACTCAATACATGCCTTGAGACCGCTCGCACTTGCTTGTGTACTCCTTGATCATCTCCAGGTTCGAAGCTAACCATTAATCTGAAAGTTTATATCCCAATTCAATAAGAATCTGAATAGTATGTTGTCTGTGGTTCTGTTTATACCTACATTTATGTAATATAATTACATGCCTGGTATCAGAATAAAATGTATTTTTTACCCTCAGGCGACAGGTCAAGCAGAGAGCGCAACGACTAAGGAAGCAAGAGCCCTAGCTGCCGCAGGGTATCAGCGATTGATGGCTTATCGACGTTTGGACGGTTCATTTGCAGCGGAACACGATGCTGAAGCTGAAGGAGATGTGTGGTAAGTTCACAATGTATTTCTATATTTTCCTAATCAACAATAATAGTCAATACACATTTGCCTGCTGATATAGCGGCATCCTACCACACTAGGGTAAAGCTCCGCCTGAACAGTGACCCTTTTTGCAGGATGACAGCCGCAGCAACACGTTGGTTGTCACGGTGTTCACGTTACGTGTCAGTGGAGGCGACTCCCGCAACCAGCGCGGCGGCGTGGTTAGCGCACGCGCAGCTGTCGGACGGCAGCTGGCCGGCGCCCTCGCCGCGAGTGGTCACTGACCCCCACGCGCAAGCGCCACTGCCTCTAACTGCTCATGCTCTTGTTGCTTTACACCAGTCTAAGGTATATTAATACTTTTTCAACTCTCAATTATTATCTCCTCAACAAGACAACAAAGAATTAATTTAAAAACCTCATAAATAGAATTTCCTTTTTTGCCTTTTCAACGTTTACAAAATAAAGTGCCAATATCTTAAAACTCTAAATTGAGGTAAAAAAATAACTTTGACATTTCGATTCGATTCATTGTATTTTCCAAGGTCTCCTCCGTAAATAGCAGCTTTTTGTCAAGTACCCTCGCTTGAGCTTTAATTTTCTCATTCAGCACAATTCCAACGGTGACAACGTTGTCATAACGGTTAAATCAAACTTACTGTCTTAAAATTTGATGTACACTGTTCTAGCCTATGACCTACATATTTATGTGTAGGGAAGCGAGGTGCTGTACAAGAACAACATAAACAAGGCGCTCGACTTTTTAGGCAGTGAAGTATCGCCAAACTTAGACGCTTACTCTCTGGCAGTGATTGGAGGCGCATTCGCCCTCACCAGGCATCCACAACTCACACAAACTCTCGAAATAATGGACAAATATGCTAATACCACAGGTAGTTAAGTATTAACTAAACAACATATACCTATGTAACTTTTTCATCACCAATCCAACACTACAAATATACTTAGGTGTACCTATTTACATTCTAAATGTACAAGTAATTGAGTCTTCAATGTTTTGTTATCACACATGCAACATGACGGTAAAACTTTGCTATTAAAAAATCTTTATCTTTGACCAGGAACGACTCTATTCTGGTCACGAACATTGTATAAGAACGAATGGCGGAATCCGTGGTTGGTTGGCAATAGTTTAGAAGCGACGACCGCGACATGGGGTCTTCGGGCCATGTTGGGCGCTCGTCTAATTGACGAAGCCACTCCTGTTATTCGATATCTATTACAATCGTACCAGCCGAACGACCCCGATCCTGACGTGGTATGTTATTTTTTACAAACAATGTTTATCAAATGATTCTCAATCGTATTCAAACCCTTTTTATTTTTATAGTTTAGAAATTCATAAAATAGTATTTAGGTAGTGTTTAAAAATATAATCAGCTATAATTTTAAATTCCAGATCGACTCACTGGCACAGTACGCTGAAATGATCCACGCTTCAACGAAACTAAGAGTGTCAGTCAATGTAACCGGCTCCGAAGAAGCCCGACAATTTCAAATCGCAGAAAACAATGCTTTGATAATACAAACGCAATCTGTAAGCAAGCAATATTTTGCTAGAGAATATAATTATTACTTTATCTACTGATATCTTGGGAAAATCGCAGTCCAATCATTTAGTAAACTTTTATGTTCCAGTTGTTCTGCAAACATACCTAATCACAATATTCATATCGACAGATTCGCAACAGTCGTACTGTCAGCGCAGTAACGGAAGGTCGTGGTATTGCTCTCGTGGGACTATTCGCTAAGGGCAGCACAAACGTAACAGCGCCCTGGCCCAGGTACACCCTCGACCCAAGAGTCGATCAAGTTTCCACCAAGTACCGCTTGCAGCTTTCCGTGTGTTTTGGGTAATTCAATCTACCACTTAATCATTGTTAGATGGTTTGGTTAGTTACTGTTGTAAAAGATAATTGTTACTTTTACAGGTTCGTATCACAAGGCAATGAGACAGAAAGCGGGTTAGCTCTTCTTACTGTCCAATTACCATCCGGATATTTGGCGGATATTACTACGCTAAACGAATTAACGGTGAGAACAATTGTATCAACATGTATTCACTATGTATGACAATGATTCTATCAATAATAATACTAGAAATGACTAACTTGGTAAGTATATATATTAAATGATAGAAACTACTAACATACTTTACATGGAAAAATTTAGAGATTGATTACTTGAAAAGAAAAACTAATTTCATAAATCCTTAAAAAAAAATTGAACCGACTTCAAGCAATACTAAAAATAAAGAGCACTAAAAATTAAGAAAATAATTACAAATCTAAGTGAAAGAACTAAAATAAGTGCGACCCTCAATATAACAGGTAACGTTATAATGTCAATAGATACCTTCTAGTATGTTTAAAGTCGGTGCGGACCTGTTCGCTGCCTACCCCAAAGCTACCATGACAATAAATTAGAATGTCATCAATTAGGAAATCCCCTGGTACATATTTGGTAGCTGTGTTAGACAGGAATAAACTAAAATATACAATCAACGATGTGCTCGTAAGCATAAAATTACGTCAGCGTAAAAATCTAAGCGACTGCTATCCTTAAAAACAAATTGTAAGTGAAATGTGTGGTTGTCCCAGTCGGTGCGGCACGTGGTGTGGGCGCGCGTGTCGCGGCAGGGCGCGCGCGTGGTGGCCGGCGTGCGCGCCGCCGCCGCCGAGCGCTGCGCCACGCTCGCTGCGCCGCGCGCTCTGCCCGTGGCCCGCCAGCGCCCCGCCTGGGTTACACTAATCGATCTATATGACTCTAGTAAGTAGACCTGACTGTTACTTCATAGAAAATCACTCATAATATGTGTGACCGTTACTTTGACTCGAGAACTTAGACCCTTTCGAAATATATTATTTAGTCGCATTAGTAGAGCATGCCGTATGGGCTTTACATAGTTTAACTCTCAAAACCTTTGTCTGGTCCGATAAATTATGTAGTACGTAGTACACACGTAGAAGCGAAATTACTGTTGTACGCGTGGGTCTAATATCTGCAGCATGATAACACTTGAGTGTATAGTTGCTCCTATCTCCGAGTCCATAAGTTCGAACTGCAACAGTTATTCACTAAAGCAATTAAATAAGGTCCAAAGAAATTCAAATCAACACAATTGAATATCCAAATGCTGTCGACTAAATGAATAATTAATTAGTTGACACAATAGTGAGCGTTGCCCCAGCTGAAAAAGTTCAAATTTCATTGTTTGAGTTTAATAGATATTTAGTGTATGACGTCGTGTAATTGTGTATGGTAAATAAAAATTTGTGCATCCAATTTACGTTTATATTTATATCTTCTAACTGGTATGTTTTTTTAAATCTGTTTTTATAAACAGTATAAACAATTTTTGTTCTTCTACGTCCATAGGACTAAGAAAGTGCCGCCTGGGACAACGTTGTATCAACAGAAACAGTTTTTCGTGAATAACGACACAATGGTTGGATGCACAAATTTTAACTTACCATACACATTTACACGACGTCATACAATAAATATCTGTTAAACTCAAATAATGAAATTCGAACTTTTTCCGCTGGGGCAACGCACACAACACAATATACTATCTATTGTTTACAAAGATCTAAAAAAAAACCTTTTAGGTCACCGCGCCCGAGTATTCTACCAGGCGCTACCTGCTACCGCATGTGACGCATGTCGCGAGTGGGAGTCATGCGCGCGCGCTTGCGGCTCGGCAGCACTTCAAGTCTCCGAAGATGACCAAAAAGGCGATCAAATAAAACCCTCCACCGCCTCTCTCGTCAAATCTACTTTGCTATTGGGAATCATAACCACCGTCCTCATATTAATTTACTGACATAGTTCATTTCTGCTAAATTTTTGTTCATACTAACATAGGTTTCTTTCCACAAAAACAAGATAGATTGTAGAAAATAGAAGGCATTGCGGGCATTGCGTCCTGTACCATCATATTTAAACAGTATAGTGAAAGTAGTTAGTAGGCGTGAGAGTTAAACAAGTAATTAATGTTATAGATATAAAAATTCACCTCTGGTACCTCATATTTACGTTAACAGTGATGCTTCTGAGATCAAGTAGGGATAGCTCCATGTGGTATGTAAATTAACTTTTTGCATTTGCGTTTATAATTATTTATTTCAAATGTTTTTGGTACCATTAGAGCAAATTTGTACTTTACTGCGTTGTAATAATTAACGAAAACACCATATTAGGACCTGCATTTATCTGTTAATAGTTTTACAATAGTCACTGTGTCAGTCACATATTTTGTTTAGTATGAAATATTATATGAGTGAATACAAATCGCTCCTTTGTTGTTGTTTTTAATATTTTAATGTCTTAACTGTCGTGAGTAATAAATCAACTCGTGAAATAGATAATAATCCCATTCGACGGTACTTAACAACAGAATGACATTGCTAACAAACAGTGAGTTTGCTAGGCAATTATTTTTATATAAAGTATATTTTAGGATAATAATTTTAAGCTTATATCATTAACAATATTAACAACAAAGATTTTCTTGTTTTACAACACTAATTACGATGTCTATAGCTTGTATAGCAATTTGAGTAATTTAATAAATCTATTTTAATAGTACGTTAAGACTAAACATGGCAAAGAAATAATTATTATAATTGAACACCACATAGGTACTTATTGAATAAGAATGAAATTAAATTCAAAACATGCGGTGTTTATTTTTATTGCAGTTTTTTACTAAGTACGTGACATACAAGTATACTGTCCGCTCGGTGCTCCAATACAGCAAAACTGGCAGTTTCATTAAAAAAGAATATTTTAAACACAAAACACTACATACATAATGTGAAATAATATAAAATATAACTCTTTACATAGCACTTTTATAGGAGGTTAAAGTTTAATACTCTGATAAAAATTGCGCAGGCCTGTTTAACTATATTTCCATTTTCCTCATCATCCAGTGAAAGAAGCCGAGGATTGAGAAAGACATTGTCAGTGGAACTGCTGACGCCTTTATCCAGGACCATAAACTGCAAACCAAGTTTACTAGTAGGTACTCAAAGTCACACAAAACCATGTACATAATAAAAACTGGCAAAGTGAGTGTCGTAGCTTAAGGCTTCCCGTTTGAAATAAGTTATAAATTTGTCGAAGGATATTTTTTACAGGAAAAAAAACAGAACCCTTATAGGATCACTTTGTGTCTGTCAAGACCCTTTATCTCGGGAACGCGTAGAGGTTCCGAGTTGATATTAAAACCATAAACTCTTTACCTTGTCGCTTGAAACTGTAAAATAATCCTCCTAAGTTAACTTAAAAAAAGATACGGCCTTTTATAGCCAAAAAAATCATATTTCGACACTCTAAGGGAATAAAAATTTATAGGTTGTTCCCGTTCCCTATAACTATAAAATTTGGCAAGTAACATTTGTAATTAATCATAAAAATATAGTCTTTATTTGAAGTACGTAATCAATCATGGAGGTACAATTTAACTAATAAACACAATTATATAAATTTAATTTTAACATAACCCTAATCTTTGCAAGACTGCAGTGTGAGTCTAAACTACTAGTCTAAAATAGTAGTATACTACTGTAGCTTTGTAAGCTGCGGACGGACAGACAGACAGACGTAGCGAAACTGTAGTTACATTATGCAAAACGGCGATTAGAGAGTCGTAATAGGCAGTTGGGTGGCAAGGCTGGTCAGATCACTAGTAATTTTCTTAGAAATATCACATGTTTACCCGCTTCACCGACCGCGGTACCAAATGATTTACTAACTAGAGAAGATTCCTGGTAAGCATTTGTAAAGAAGATTGTTCTTGGAGCTAAATAAATAGTCTTCATAAAAAGCAACAAGATATCTACGATATTGTAAGTTGAAAACATGAAAGTACTGATAAAGTGATATACAAACTCACTCATAAGGATCATCAGAAATGTAGTACGGTTGAGGTGTGGGTACGATCCCACAGTCAGATATGTAAACCCGCACTGTCGGCTTATCCTCCACGTCTGTTGGCGTATGCTCCACCATGTGCACAATGTTCTGACCTTCTACCACCTAAGAAATAAAGAATATTAAAAAAAAGAGCTAGTAGGAACTCACAGGTTGCATGACAACGGGGTAGATTCCTAGGTTTAAAATAAATTATTTCGCCTGTGTCATAAAATATTATATCATCTCAGGCTGTAGCCTAGAATGTCCACCATTTTCGATTTAATGTTTTTATTGTTTTATATCTTCAAATCACCATTAAATATAAATGATTTGACAATAGCTAGGTATGACGTCACGCCATAGTAGTTAATATAAAAATGTACTGCATTTATCGTTTTAAACTTTAATAAAAAGATACTGATTTCACTTGACAGTCATCTACCCTATTGCCCCAGAGTGATGTAGGCGAACGTCGGCAATCGTCACCATATTGGTTAGCCGAGAGCTGTTAAGGCTTGTGGTCTCCGAATCGTACTTCATTCCAGTTAGAAGTGACTGGTTGGGAGACGAGGACGGCTCGGTGATCCTCATCACCCATGTTGGGAATGGTTCTCCCTCCTTTGAACTCGTCACCCAGGGAAGGGGATACGTCGCAGCATTGCTGGGAGAGTTAGTAGTTGAGTTGGAGTATATTGCTCCCCAATTAGGCCCCTCGCCGACCTAGAGAGAGTTTTGGAAGAGCTGGGTCCAATCGTCCGTCACAGCCATCCCCGTCCCGTCGTCATGCTAGGCGATTTCAATGCCAAATTAGGGCTTGGGGTTCACCAGCTACCAATGCACGAGACGAGGTGGTCGAAGAATGGGCTGTCGAGTCAGGATTGACTCTCCTCTTGCGGGGTTCCCCAAGGCTCTGTTTTAGGCCCTTTGTTGTGGAACCTTGCATATGATGTGGTCCTTCGCACCAGTCTGCCCTCTGGCCTTAGTGTTGTCTGCTATGCTGATGACACTTTAATACTGGCTAGAGGGTCACACTTCGACGAGGTGCTTCGGCTCGCCGAGCATTGGGTGGCTTGTGTCGTGGGAAAGATTCATGAGCTGGGTCTGAGGGTGGCGCCTCAGAAAACTGAGGCGATATGGTTCCATGGCCTACGTAAGCGCCAGGAACCACCCAGCTCATGCCTCCGGGTGGGTGACGCTGAAGTCCAGGTGGGCCGGTACATGAAGTACTTAGGCCTCATCCTGGACAGTCGGTGGAGCTTCGAAGAGCATTTCATGCGATTAGTCCCCCGAGTGCGCGGGGTAGCGGGTGCACTGCATCGCCTGCTGCCCAATCTCGGGGGACCACGGGAAGCAGTTCGCCGTCTCTATATGGGAGTCGTGCGATCCATGGTCCTCTATGGGGCGCCCGTCTGGTCTAATGACTTGGCGGGTGCCTCCCGCTGCAAGGCTCTACTCAGAAGCCTACAGCGGTTGATGGCCATACGGGTCGTACGGGGTTATCGTACCATCTCGTTTGAGGCGGCGACGGTCCTGGCGCGATATCCACCCTTCGACATTCTGGCCGACATGGACGCGATGGTATATGACCAAGTCCGTTCTGTCGGTCGGAATGGTGAGGAGGCCGCGCCGGATCATGAGCCCGGAATGCTACGGCGGAACGCGCATACGCAGGCTCTGCAAGCGTGGCAGGCACGCCTTGTAATCCAGGGCTGTGCTAGCCAACGCGCCGTCGGAGCCGTTCTGCCGAGCTTCGAAGCGTGGGTAGGGAGGAACGACTGTGTCACCTACCGATTGACTCAGATGCTTACCGGGCACGGTTGCTTCGGTGAGTATCTGAATCGAATTGGACGGGAGGCCACGGCACAATGCCACCACTGCGGGTCCGACCGGGACTCCGCCCAGCACACGCTGGAGGACTGCCCTGCATGGGAGTCCGAACGTCGAGTCTTGGTCGGACAGATCGGACGAAACCTGTCACCGCCAGCATTAATCGCGGCAATGCTGGCGAGTGGCGAGGGATGGGCAGCCGCGGTCTCCTTTTGCGAGGACGTTATGCTCCAAAAGGAGGCCGCAGAGCGGGATCGGGAGAGGGCCGATCCCGCTCGAAGGAGACGGCGAAGGGGACGTGGCAGAGGTCGCTAACTCCCCAATCGCCGCCTAAGGGTCGCTGCGGCCACATCTTGGGGCGATGTGACCGCTGTAAACGACCCGAGACAGATGACACTCCGGTGCGGCCGGGGGCTGTCGTCTAAGGCGGAAGTAAGAGGCGCGGTAGCATCCTGCCCCAGGGTGACTTCGATCACTCCGGGATGTGCCTCAGACATGGGGTACGGCAAGGAGGACTCCAGAAGTCGCCGATGCGTTCCTGGAGCTCCTCCCGACTGCCGAGGTAGGCCGCCGCGGGGTTTAGTGGGTAGACCGGTTCTCCGGGAGTCCCACACACGCCCTACGTTTCCCCAACGGAGGGTATGGTGCGAAAAGCATTCCACGCGTGAAAAAAAAAAAAAAAGGATTGACTCTCCTCATTCGAGGCTTAGTACAGACGTGTGTGCGACAGCGAAGAAGTCTTATTCGCTAGCCTCTCTGTGGCAGATGTGATGGAGGATGGGACTAATCCCACCCACACGCCCACCACTGTAACTCCTGTACACCAGGATCCACAGCAGTGACCCACGAACACACCGAGTTATGACACTCGGGAAGTCCCAGGAAGAAATTAAACTGTCTTGGAACCCGCAACGAAATTAATCAGAAGAAAATTGGAGGAGTTGGAAATACAGTAAATCCACTTCCCTCCTTAGCAAAGCGGGAGACAAAATGAAGTAAAATAGGCATACACCCTTTGAAACAGGGAAGCACCATGGCCACAAAATATTACGGGTCCTACATGAGCTATATTTGATTTCTATAATATGTATGGCAGAATCGCCTAAACGCACGGAAATTCACCCTAGTTGACACAAGATCCCCATAGTATACCGCCCCAGATGTCACCTGCAAGCTATTCAGCATTATATTACGTTCATTATACCAAAGACTACATTCCCAGAGGATATGATGAGCAGACTGTTCATAATGAGAGTTAGGTGTTGAGCATTGACACAATGGTGACTCGACTAATTTAAATGAATACAACTTGCTTTTAAAGTTACCATGACCCGTAAGAAATTGAGCGACACATTGATCCACCTGACCTGACCATTATTGGTCCTTCTCCCCCGATTTGAATCAGTCCCTATCGCTTTAGTTCGTTTATCGATAATATTTCGCTATACAAATCGTCAATTCGTTTACCGGCAGCCGGCCGCCATCTTCGTGTCGCACGCGTCGCTCATTAGTAAAAATTCATCATTCATTACATTCATTACAATTGATTTAACCATTTTTATTGGTACTATAGATGATTCCAAATTAAAATGTTTCGTTTCCAAAACGCCTCTAAAATCAACGTGTATATATATATTGTATTTCATACTTATACATTATGGTGGGGACTCAAAGTATCTCATTCACAAACTATTTAGGGTAAAAGACCTCTTGTCTAAAATGAACGGATACCTCAGACCCTCATAGCCAAATTACTGCACACTAATCGACTTGTTGAGTTTTTTAAAGTACAACATTGATACTTCCTATTAACTAATTCAGTATCTTGAAAGTTTTAAATAAGAACTTGTGTTAATTGGGGTCAGTTTTGAGACTTCGTCGACCCCAAAAATCAGTTTTCGTTTATGTCGACCCCTGGGAAACCAATTTCGACCTCAAGGGGTTGATATCAACTACTTTGGAAATCTCTAGTCTAAATGATATAGGTACTACCTTTCCAACAACAGTATGCAAATCATCTAGCCATGGTGTTCCAGTTGTTGTTATAAGAAATTGACAGCCATTTGTGTTTCGTCCTAAAATTATAAACAAACGTTACTATAAAAAAAACAGTGTCAAGAAAATAAAGTCGCAATTACTGTAGTACTTACTACCTTTGTTAGCCATAGATACGAAACCAGCCACGCTATGCTGTGTATCCAGGTTTTCATCATCAAATGTTTCACCATATATGCTAATAGAGCCCGTGCCGTCGTCGGAAACTACATCCCCTCCTACCATCAAAGTAATGCAAATAAAATACACTTTAAAACAAATATTTGTATTTTCCGTGTCACACGTGTTCACAGCACTTTTTTGCCTCGCACAACTAATTTGTGGAAACAATTGTCGCCTGTGATATTTTCGGACCTATACCACCATCAAACTTTCAAGAAAGACTGTATTCCTACCTCAAAGGCCTTTGGTGGCGGTAGTCACTTTCCATCAGGTGACAGGTCTGCTTGTTTGCCCCCTATATCATAAAAAAATATACCTGGTAATAATGGTATTAAGTGCTGCATCAAATTACACACTTTACATTTTAAACATGTGTAAATGTGAATACTAGCACATTTCAGAAACCATAATCAAATTGATTATGATGTGCTAACCAATAGTAATGATATAGGTACATATATACCTACTCACAAGGCAAGCCATTCAAACTAAAAAAGTAGAAGAAAATCATCATAACACATAAATATGACCTTACCTTGTACCATAAATCTCTTAATTATGCGATTAAATGATGTTCCTTTATAAGACTTCCCTTCTATACCTTTAGTTGATAAAACTAGAAAGTTTTTGACAGCTTTAGGGGCTAAATCTCCAAATAATCCGATTACGAATCGCCCTAAATGCTTATTTTCACGTTGGACGTCAAAAAATACTTGATCTGTAACACGAAACTGCCTTCCCTAAAAACAAACACATTATAACTTACACAGGACACTAAATCTGAACTATTGTTTAATAGAAAATAATTGTTACATTTGATTGAAAAACTTGTAAAGTCACAATAAATAAAAACAAAAGTGAAGTGTAGCAATTCATTTTACTTGTGTTCACTAGAGCTTCAAGTGTCCACGTTACTTAAATCACACTGTAGCTCTGACTTTACTTTAGTAGCTAATTAGATAATACTTACATCTGGAGGAAGCCCCGCATATGCATAGTATCACTTAATAAGTAAGGTTACATGATCATGTTCAATCAATAGTGTTTTCAGCAATTCTTTATCATTTTCTCATTAGGAAACATTTGAATCTTAATGTGCTAAGTCTACTTTTAGGCCTCAAAGTACCTATATGTGTTCCTTTTCAATTTACAAATTTAACTGTTAAAAATATATGTCCTTGAAATTAACAGTATCTCATTAAGAATATGTATAACTTTATGCACATTTATTTTGTTTTACTATAAATTTCTGGAGGACTTTTGTTGTGTAACAATTTTGCTTTAGGTGATCCATTCATTGACATGTATTTTGTATGACTTTTTATATGTGTTTTTAATTTATCACTGCGGCTGAATTCTTTTTTGCAGTCTAAAGAATCTTTGAAAGGGCATTTATATAGTTTCTTGGACTGATGCAACCTCATATGCCTTTGAAGCAGATCACTTCGTTTAAATGACAATTTGCAAACAGAACATTTGTATTTTCTGGCACCATGTTTTAACAAATGTGCTGATAAATACTTTTTCATAGGGAAACTACTGTTGCATATATTACACTGATATAGTTTAAACTTTGTATGTATCTTCAAGTGTAGTCTCAACCTTTTATCACTGGCAAAAGTTTTACTACAATGTATGCACACTTTTTTATGACTCTCTGTGAGCATGTGTAGAGCTAGTTTTTCTGACTTACGAAACTCTGCATCACATTGTGTACATTTAAATAATTCCATTTTACTAGACATCCTGTCACCAGACTTTTTATGAGCATCTTGATGTGATGCAATACCTTCCAAGGTATCAAAAGTGGAACTGCATAAATAACAAGCATATCTGACAGTCTCATGTCCAATATTTACATGGTGGAGTAAACTTTCAACACTATCATAAAACTCCATGCAATCATTTTGAATACATTTGTATTTTTTTAAAGACAAATGTGTTTTTAAATGTGCTCTATATTGACTATAGCTGGACAATACAACATCACAATAAGGACAGCTGTAACTTAATAATTCTGCTTCAAGAGTTCTCGCAGTTGTCTGAGTTAGGCCATCAGGCCACACTTTATGTGTAGAAATATGTCTTTGTAAATGAGAATTTTGATTAAAACAGCGACCGCAAACCAGACACTGTAAAGGTTTTTCATTGTGGATTTTCATATGTGCAAGCAAGCTCCTCATATTTTTAAAATGTTTCTGGCATGTTGGACATAAATGGTCTTGAGTTTGGGGTAGAGTTGTGTCTCTGTCGTCTGTGTCAGACAGAGCTTTATTTTGTTCTAATGGTGCAGTGTCAATAGGATACGAATCACTTAAAATTGCAGTCTCTAAAATAGTAGAAGTTGGCAGTAAATTTTCCTCTAAAGCACCAATGCTACATTTAAAACTTTTGTGGTTCAAGAATATCTGTAATGAATTAAATATAGATTTGCAAAGATATCTTCATTCACTGAATCTAATACAATAACGTGGGCCATCATAAATTATAGTAAATTTTATCAATTATCAATTATTTTTATTGTATAAATAAATAATATTTATCAATATACTGATTTTATCTCATGAAATATTAAGCATAATTGAATTCAGATAAGTGTTATGGGGAAGAAAGAAAAATAGGCTAATACACGGCGTTGACACTTCATACATTGGCTTTTGACTCTAGGAGCTTGGGTATTCATAACGTAACCCCAGCAGAGGCCGCTAGTATACCGGGCACGTTCCAGCCTGCAGATATTAAAATTTCATCATCAGCCTATCGCAGTCCACTGCTGGACATAGGCCTCTCCCATTGCACGCCACTTAGATCGATTTTGGGCTTCTCGCATCCAGCTCCTGCCAGCCATCTTACGCAAATCGTCACTCCACCTGGCCTGTAATATATAAAAAAATAAAATATATATATATATATATATATGTATTAAAATTTAAAAATAATAAAATAAATAAAAAGAATTTGATAATTTACAATTAGCAGTGGTACCTAGTGGTAGTGTAGTGTAATAAAAAAAAACAAATTGCTTATAATTATTTATTGAAAACCAGGTTTACAGTAATTGTGATCTTTAAATGAACCTGCATATACAACTTCATCCTGGTTGTGAGGCCATACTCCGATTATTTCCGTACCACTATCATCATTATCACTATCGCTTTCGGTTTCAGTGTCACTTACAACTTCTATAATAAAAGGTTTATCTAAATACAAATCATGTTTTAAGTTTTCTCCTTCTAACCTGCGAACATGTTTACAATGCTGTGCCCACTCATGAACTCTAATAGCGTCAAAAGCTTCTCTAACTAGGCAGGAAATTTCAGCATTTTTGTCCTCAATATTTACATCAGCAACTTTTCTTTTCATTGTGCTCCATATGAGTTCAATGGGATTGAGATCACAGTGATAAGGTGGTAAATATAAGCATTTATGTCTATTGTCTTCTAAATTTTTTTCAATCTCATTCACAGGTTCAGGCTTGTTTCTCTTAATTAGTTCTAAAAGCTGAGGTTTTGTCAAATTCTCTCCGTAGTCAATTTTATTTTGGGTCAACCTTAATTGCATATTTTTTTTAAAGAATTCGTATTTGGGACTTTATTCACACAAATACGGTGATAAGGAGCATTATCCATCACTATTATAGATGGCTCTCGTAAATTAGGCACAAGTTTTTCAATAACCCACTTTTTAAAGTTGGTACTATTCATCTCGTCATGATAATCACCACTTTTTGTGTTTGATTTAAACACAAGTAGTGCATTTGTAACAAATCCAGTATCTCCTCCCGCATGAACAATAATATATCTTTGCCACATTTACCCGATGTATGCGAAGAGTGAATATAGTATAGTAGTAGTATATACCTAAGAGCAAGAAGAAGAAGCATACAGAAGCGTGCCTAAATATACCTAAGAGTGCGGAGTTGAGTTTGCAATTATGTGTACACGTCCCCGCTGCTACTAGTCTGCCGTTGCGGTCTAGTGGTGGAGTCACTAGTGAGTCGTACCTCCCGGGCAATGCTGCAGTTATATGAGCTTCGCAATCTTCCATCTTCATCATGACTGTAGCTAAGTATATAGGGCACAGGCGGCTCTTAGGCGCCATAACCATCATAGTATTCAGCTAGGGGAGAAAACCCCGAAATAAAAACCCGCGTGTTGCCCAAAAGGGCTGCCCCAGACCGTAATCCTTCTTCCGGCCCTTCTTCAAAATATTAAGTTTCCTAAAATACCAGAACGCAAAACAAGACTCGTAGAACAGTTGATACACGCGGATAATCCTAAAGCCGCCAACAATGACAAAAAAAAAACAAATAACTTTAACACAAACATACGAAGACGTACTAACAAACGGACAACAATCCACACTAAACATAAATAATAATATTAATAAACCAAATGATATTAATGAATTATTGAACGTAATGAAACAAATGATGCAACAGCTGACTACTTTGACAAACCTTATTATATCACCCACGATGAAAGTATCGCATTTGGTTGTTTAAACATAGCCTCATGGAACGCTAACTCCGCTTTCATAGCGCTTTTAAAATTTACTAGAACAATCTGTAATATTCGATAGTGCGTTCCAGACAACAAGAATATTCCAGAATCAGTCACGCGTTACTTGCAGCAACATCTAGCGCTGTAAGGATCAGAAGTACTCGTAATAAGCACAATCTTAATGGATGTACTTTAGTCGATACTAGGTGGCGCTGTCCTTCACATTCCATACAATCGAACCATTTAATCCAATATTATTATAAAAACCAAGACATCCAAATATTCTTAAAAATTTTGATTCAACTGCAACTACCGACTACTCCTTGTGGAAAGCCATCAAGAAATTTAAAAGACCCGTTACAAATCAACTCCCTCTTCGTAAGAATAACAATGAGTGGCCCACTAATGATGTGGATAAAACTTTTGTGTTTGCTGAACATCTGAAAAATGTATTTGTCCCAAACCCTGACATGGGCTCCTCAAAAACTCATTAAGTTATCGACTTATTAAACCGAACTCACCAGCTCGATGTCCCTATTCCCAAATTCACCAAGAAAGAGGTAAAAGATACCATCAAGGCACTGAACTCCAAAAAAGCTTCTGGTTACGACTTGACAACTGGCAAAAGTCTAAAGGAACTACCTAAAGAGCGGAACGGAATCCTGCTCAGATGTTCGGTTCCTCTTCAGTCGAAAGTCGCACAAGTCATAATGGTCCTTAAACCTGGTAAAAGTGCTGTTGATGCGAAATCTTACAGACCTATCGGCTTGCTACCCATTACATCAAAAGTTATGGAAAAATTAATCTTGAGAACAGTGGCGGATTAGCCATGTAGCAAGAGTAGCAAATGCTACGGGCCCCGCGCATTTGGGGGCCCCCGCTCTTTCTGACCGTAAAAAAGTATCTACTTACTCGTATTTCGATCGGAGTGTGAAAATATATTTTTTGAAATCAATAAAGCCAAAAATCTTATCACGAAAGAGTTGCATCTAAATGTCAAACTATAATTTGACGGGCCTGTTGGTTTAGTGGTTAGTGAGCCTGCTAAGCCAGAGGTCGTGGGTTTGATTCCCACCCAGGACAAATAATTGTGTGATAAGCACGATGATTTGTTCTGTGTCTGGGTGTAATTTATCTATAATATGTATATATTGAGAAATATATAAGTATGTTTATCAGCAGTCTGGTTAGAATAGTACAGGCTCTGCCTAGTTAGGAAACATACAGCCGTGTGTGTGTGATGTGTTAAGTAAAAATTTAAAGTTTTAGTACATTTCTAAAATTATGTTTTGCACTGCGACCCAACGCTGCGTGTAACGCCCAAGCCAAGCAAATTGCCCGCGTGTGCTGAGCCGCGTCCTCACTGCAATCGGAGTGATAACAGGCGGGATTCAATTCCCTCCTATCGAACGATTGCAGAATCAGCCGTACTCAGAAAGAACCTGCTCTGCTCTGGACGCTCTGCCCACTCAACGATTGGCCTCAACTCAACGACCGCTTGGAGTGCCTCTACGGCGGCAAAGCGAGCACGTGGAGCCTCCAGGCTGGACCGACCAACGAGCCATCGTGGCTCGGCGAGAGGCTTTACGACCCTCGCGCTCCTCTTCGGGTGGGGGCCGAGCACTTCCTTCCCAAATCCCACGAGAGTGTTCTGGCCAGACGTCGACACGGTGCTATAACCATGGTTCTAACTGTCAATGCCCTCTAAGGGCGCCATAATAAAATATGTTTTATAAGCTCAGACTTATTTTAACAGTGGCGTGCAATCATTTTTTGTATTAAGCTGAGTAAACATGCTTTTTATATTCAAACCCAAAATAATATTAATATTAAATCTTAACATTTTGTAATAAAAATCAATAATGACACAATAGTAAACATACAACACAAACTGCACAATATACATTGAGATAATACATCCATAATCATAGCACTTACATAATTTTGGTTAATGCGCGCCCTATGCCGGGCGGTCAGAACTGCCGTCCACACTGGGGCACCGTACAGTGCCATTGACTGGACAGCCCCGTGTACAGCTGTCTTGAAACGATGCTGGTTGGGCAAAAGTCACTTAAGAACAGACGCAGTGTCGACCAGTTTTAGGGTAAGCTGTTGGGAGTGCTCATCGAAGAGCCATCTCCCGTCAGGTATCCTTCATCTGGGCCTGAACCGGTACGTTGACCAAGATGACCATGATTGAGGCGCCAGGGGGTGGACTACAACTAGGCTCAAGAAATAAGAGGCCTCCGTCTTATCCAGGACCACCTTTAAGACAACCACCAAAGAGACACTCCAGGGCCCCCTCCTATCCACAGACAACCAAAGTGTCGTTGGCGTAACAGATTACGCCCAGCCCGGGGTGGGAAGTCTCCTCGAAGGGCCTAGTCATACCCTATGTTCCCACAGGAGGGCCCAAGACCAGAGCCCTATTCAACACCACATGACATGGGCTGACGTATCAGAATTGAAACAAAACCTATAGGGTTTGTTTCTTGAAACTTAAGACAACCCCAAGTAGGGTTTGTTTCAAATTTGAGACTGGTATAACCAACCCGTCTGGCCAGCGTAGCATAGCAAACAAAAATCTCCTTTCTAAGGAGAAGCCCATATCCAGCAATAGACTGTTGAGGATGATGATAAATACCATAAACTAGATAACCTAAAACAACCTAAGGGGCCCTTGGTACTATTTGCTACAGGCCCCGCGCTGTCTAAATCCGGCACTGCTTGAGAAGACTGATGCCCATTATCTCTGAAAATAACCTCTTACCTGACCACCAATTTGAGTTTCGACAACAGCACAGCACTATAGAACGAGTACATAGACTGAAATTATTTAGAACAAGTACATAGATTGAAAATATTTATAAAGCCTTTGAGCGGAAACAATATAGTACAGCGGCATTCCTTGACATCTCAGGCTTTTGATCGGGTTTAGCATGAGGGGCTTTCATTTAAAATAAAAATTAATCTACCTATTAGCTACTACACTATGTTTGTAGGTTGATTTGAATACCTATTATCTAACTACAACCTAATTAAATCCTACCTAAGCGACAGATATTTTTTTGTAAAACAAGGTTGCGAATCTACATCCCTGTATAAAATCGAAGCAGGTGTCCCTCAGGGTAGTGTAATGGGTCCTACGCTCTACCTACTTTATACTGCAGACCTCCCAACTACAGCAGGCGTAGTACTTTTGCCGACGACACATTATTCTTACGGCACATACTCTACCAGACCTTGCATCACAAAAACTTCAGGCAAGTCTTGACCATATATCCCAATGGCTTAAAGACTGGCATATCAAAGCCAATGAAACTAAATCTGTCCAAGTGACATTCACAACAAGAAAAAATACATGTCCACCTGTTCACTTAAATTGAGTTTATTCACCCAAAGCTACTGAAGCTAAATATCTGGGAATGTACCTTGACAGACGTCCCACCTGGCCAAAGCACATTATTACATTTTTACAAACCGCTGTGCCGCGGGTCAAAGACTGAGAGAAACGTATTGGTTACGTAATAAAAACTCGCAATTGACATTAGAAAATAAGATACTATTGTATAAGGGCATCATAAAACCCATATGGACATACGGACTGCAGCTCTGGGGAACTGCATTTAAATCGAATATAGCCATTCTGCAAATATTCCAGTCTAAAGTTTTAAGAATAATGCACCAATGCACCCTGGTATGTCACAAATGACAAACTACACAACGACCTCGGTATCTCTACTGTAAAGGAGGAAATATATGACAGGACCAGGACCTACAGGGACCGGATAAGCAAACATCCAAAAACACTAGCAGTTAGCCTGATGAATACACAGACAACCACAAGAAGGGTGAAGAAAAGGCTTCCTCAAGACCTCATATGATTGAGAAATAGAGAGGACGGATGAGTTAACAGGCAAATTCCGTACAAGTCATATCAACACACACAACAATTGATGAATATCTAAAATGATAGATTGCAATTTATAAAAAAAAAGATAATGCTTTTATTTTATAATTTAAAGTACAGTGAAGCATGATGTTTTAATTTTAAATTGATTTTTATGTACTTTCCTCATTTTGTTTACATAATGTTTATCAGTTGACGTTATTCAGTTTAAATAGCTGTCCTGCAGAATTCCTGTTAACAATTAGTTTGCTACGTTTGCATTTAAACATTTACACGGCTTTTAAATGTTTGTCTTAAGTTTTTGAGCTATGTACTTTATGTACCTGGTGTTTGAATAATTTATACCAAATTTGTTTGCGAAATTTCTAATCTCTCACCTATTCTACGAGCAAAACCATGCCACTTTCACGACAGGTAATCGCAGCTGGTACCTAGCCCATTAACGGGCCTGGCGAATTCTAAGCCTCTTCTGGTCTCGCTCCACCAGAAGCAGAAGGAAGGCTCGCGAAAGGAGACGGCGGAGTTCCACGCACTCTCGCTCCGTACCGTGGCAGCAATCATGTTACCGTGCGAGAGAATTCCCACTCCCGCCGCCACGAGGAAACGCTTCTGCTCCACCCACACCGGGCATTCTGTCAGCATGTGGAGCGCCATGTCCACGGTCCATCGCAGTGGTGGCACTCAGGCGTTGGTTTCTTGCGGATCATACATAGTTGATCTCCGAAGCATCCTTTCCCAGTGATTACCTACGTCAACCAGTATGAGAGGATTCCGTGATGCCTCTAGAGCCAATCCTCCATTACGGGTCTTACCGCCGCGATAAGGGCGTGCCCATCCTTGCCTCTACCCTCCATAATAATCTATAATAAATTAAACTGACACATGCAAATGTCAAATTACTACCAATTTTATTAAACTCCATTTGCTATTCTTTTAAAATAAGGGCTGGCAGCACTGCTTGTCAGTTTTCGAGTTTTCATTTCAAGTAGCTTTTTATTTTGTAAGTTGTTAAATGTGTGGAATTTGATTAATAAATGTGAATACTTGGATTCAATTTAATCTTTCTCATGACTTCTGCCTACTTTGTATAGTAAATTATCTGAATTATTATTAAATTTGTATTAGTGTAATCCTCTTTTTATGGTAATAAAGGTTTCTTCTAATAAACTTGAATGTGGTAGTTCAAACTACTGGCATTCTTGTCTTTGTATAGATGTTTATTGTACTGTGGGTATACATTTTATGCGGCATTGTTTATTTCAGGTCAATATGACGGTAAATAATACTATTGCACATCAGCGTTTAATCTTAAGTGGAGATCGAGAAAGGTGGGTACTCTTTTTCTTTACTTAAAATGCAGGATTTTCGAAGTTTGATTAAAAATTACTATTGCATTCTATGTAAATATTTAAAAATTGCACTCCAAAATTTAAAAAGTATTAAATGAAGTCTGATGATGTCTATGTTGACTTTTATCATACAACAGTTTTCTAAAATAATTTTAGGTATCTATTTGCACATCCCAAATGTGTAATTTAGTGTTACTGTTGTTGCCTGCCTATTAATCTCTAATCTAATGTACTTTAAATTGAAATAATCTGACCATTAATTAGCGTAATTATTACTTAGTAAAATCTGTTAAGTATTTATTTAATTTCAAGTGTCCAATGTGCTTGATTTTTAAATAATTACTACATAGTTGCCTGTAAATATTACTTGTCTATAAATGTCGTAAAGTTCTACCTGTTTACATTGGATTTGCTTCCTTTCAGTGTTGAACTGTTGCCAATTTAATTATGCCTTGACTTAATTAACTATAGCTAGTTTGTTATAGGTTCAAAGAACTTCTAAGAAGACGTCTAATAGAATGTGGATGGAGAGATCAAGTTAGAGTACTTTGCCGGGATGCTGTCAAGGAAAATGAAAGTAGTAATGTTACATTTGATGGACTGGTATCAAAAGTAACTCCACGTGCACGAGCTTTAGTTCCAGATACTGTTAAAAAAGAATTACTTCAAAAAATAAAAACACATCTGCTTACTCAAAAAGAACCATAGATTACTTGCATATGTTATATACAAATTTTAAGCTGTGCCTACCATAACTCTTTGATGATTAAAGTTATTAAAGATATTATATGGTTGTACACGCATTTGTATTTTCAGTAAGCTTGACTAGGTTCAGGTTCACAGGGGCCTGTTTATGACTAGTTGCAGCAAGATGCATCTTGTGCTGGGAGTGCTGTGTCTATTATATATTTATTTGTATTCATCATTAATGGGAGGTATGATTCTAACTCTTAGATAAGTTTCACGTTTGCTGTATTCTATTATGTAGTTTTAATCATCTAAGCATTTCAAAGAAAATGATGTATAAAAATGATTTTATTTTATTTTGAGGCTATTGAAAATAATAATTGAACATTTACAACCAACAGTATATTTTATTTTATAAACATTTACTATACAATCAGATTAAACATATACATATATATTGCTTATACATAATACTGCCATTAAATTCTATTTAATGTAAATAATAATATTGCCTGGTATATTATGTGCCAGACATCAATATGACCAGTGATACATATATGTTTGTAGCTAAATAGAAGCATAGAAAAGCTGCTGTTGGTTTGAGATTGCTCAAATTCAGATCATAAATTATTATAAGATAATAACAATGCAAAATGGTAAACACATTACATTGTAAAACAATAAAATGGCATTTTTAAAAGTGTATATACAGATGATACTTAAAATAATATCACACCTGAAAAAGCAAGTATGGCTATTTACTAGGTAAACATTATTTATTGTATAAATAGGGGATACAATTCATAAAAAATAATTATACAGCTGTCATAGTTATTCAATATAAAAATAGTTTGAGCAAATAAAATTATGCTTATTTTATTAAGGTAAACCCAATACCTAACAGTAAATTTAATAATACAAATTAGTAAGAAATTGATATAATTAAATGGACATCACCAAATGTGTGATAGCATTAGACAGAAGATGCTAAATCCATTAAAATATATCTAGTACTTGTGATGAGAAAGTATAAATTGTCATTTCACTCATTACTCATTCAATCTTATTTTTGTTACTTATTATTTTATTCAGGGATTCATCAACATTGAGCACAAAATCGGACGAATATGGGTAATAATATCTAATCTCAATCTTTTGAAAAGGTCTTCTATTTGCAGAAAAACATGTGTATGACTGGACTAGTTAATATAAATAAGGTTACCAATCCAATAGTACCATCCATACAAATATTAAATGTATTTCACAAATATTTCCTTTTGACGTTTCAGCTGTTAAAGCTATATAAAGACAGATGACACAGTCACTATTGTGCATTCTTCACTGTTCACAAATATGATGTTTCAACATTGGGCAACCTATTGAAATGGAATCTTATTGTAATGTGGCAACAGTAATACAAAGATAAATAATATATAAATGCATTTAAATGTATACTTATCAAGAAACTAGTAGAAGATGATGAGCAATAAATTTTCTTAATATAAATATCCTTAAAGCTCTTTGATACCTGATCTAAATTTGGTAATACACAATTATTACAATTTATATGTACAAAGATATACAATGGAATGTAATTTGGACTCAGTTTTTACTTTTGATCAAGTACAATTCAATTGATTATGTATAACTTAATGATGTAGCCATAACAATATTCAGTACTCTCTTAATGTAACTTTAAACCTACTTAAAATATAATATAAATCTACCTACACATCAAATAATTGATCATTCCATTTACACAATACTGTTGATTACTAATGAGCACTTCAATAATCAAATTGGCTAAACTTTAATAGCTGTATCAGCATTTGACATAAATCACATCCCTACAGTATTCAGACATTAAAATATTAGTGCTGAATCCACCGCTTGAACAGCCAGAATAATAATATATTACGACATATCTACACATATTCCACTACTCTTAGGGATATTTATTTATATAGTTGAGAAGTTAGCCCTGACACACATCAAACATCTCGCATATAACATCGCCGTATTTGCTTGTATTAGAGTAATTTACAATGAATTCAGTAAAAGAATATATGTACGTATAGAAGTATAAAATCTGAGGAATGCCATGGTAACATTAAAAATCTTGGCAACCGAAAATTGATAAGTGCTAATCCTACTTGTATCTAACATGATCTTTTATTTATGCTTAAATAAATAAAAAAAATTATATAAACTGGATTAATGCTTATAACATAATTTACTGTCTGCAGTTACGTAATACATGTACCTATAATCTTTTAGGTGTTGATAAACTAAATGGATTTCTGTAATTTTAATATGATCAAACGCTCAGGACGTATATCTGATGATACTGCAAAATTATATTACAAAAATAATATAGCGAGTACCATTTGTTTAAAAGATTATTGTAGACATAAAACTAAATAAAAACAAAAAAAAAAATGATTTAGAAAAAAATTGCCATAGATATGTTATTTCAATAACTAATAATATCTTTTACGAGATTCATATATTCATAGGAACATAGACTTAAAATCTTAGAAATAGCTGCATTATTATTATATTCAGTTATTAAAATTTGTAAATAAAGATCTGAAACTAACTCATATAATACATATTCAACATCAAAGCAACCAACCGTCGCTATAACATTACCTAATAAAATTTCGAAATAAACAACAACATTTTATTAGACACCGGTCCCTTCACAACCCGTGCAAAAACTGCGCTCTATTTAATACTTCCGGCCGGTCACGAGATTCAATGGAGCTAATAAGCATCCGATCCTCAGCGAACGTTTAAGTAATCCACTCCGGGTTTTCACTATCAAACGATATATACAGAGACAAGTCAATAACGTTCTTTCCGAATAGGTTACGATATGTTCGTCAGAAGATGCATGTAAAATACCGGATTAAATTGAAAAAGCTGGCAATATGTCGAGGGGCAGGAGCGGGGCTGGGCGGAGAGGCGCTGGCGGCTAGGTGTGCGCGGCCAGGCGCGCCAGCGGAGGCGCGCGGCGGGCGCGGGCCGCGGGCGCTCGCGCCACCAGCACCAGCGACGACGCCAGCGACAGCCGCACCGGCACGTTGGAGCCGCCAGGTAATCTGCAATATTCATCGAATCTGCATTTTTTTGCAAACTATGAAGTTGAACGATTGACCTGATGATTGCACTAAGAGGGCTGTAAAATTTTATGCCTAAGATCAAGATTTTTTCATTTCATAAATAAAATATGGTAAAATTTTGACCACTATAGGTGAACTAACTCGTATGTATCTATTAGAAAAGTCAAATTTATTGCGGTTACCAAGGGCCTTAGCGCGAGTTTAATTTCACCTGAAGTCGCTATCGACGGCGCGGGCGAGCGGGTTTGGCGTCGCGATCGGTGAAGATTTCAGTGCAGGCCAACCGCAACGACGAACGCAGTCACCGCGACGATCGAATTGAAGTGAAATAAACTTACACTAGGCCCTTAGCGCCTCTCACGTTAACTACATGCAGTATGTGCGCTTAGTATGTGAGTGCAATATTACAATGCGTTACATTGTCAGGAACAAATGAATAACAGAGGTAAAGGCACAGACAAATATTACTCAGAAGATACAAAAATTTATTAAAAATATAAACTGGTTATCGTTTCACCTGCCAGCAGCACCGTTACCCCTGGCAAGGAATACCTGCAAGTAAATGCAGCACTTACTTGACGAGCACCGAGGTGACAGCGGCGCGGCCGTCGGCCGTGGGCTCGATGGCCACGGGGCGCAGGTCGGGCGCCCGGCGCCGGCGCGGGCCCGCTGACGTCACCCCGCCGCTCAGCAGGACCGTTACTGCTGCAAATGGACGCTTCGCCATGTGCAGCATCTGTAACGTCAAAAGCGGCAGTGGTCACGCTTACTTATAGATTATTATACTCTACTAAATCAGGGGCTTAAACATGTTTGTCACTCACCTCGACCACGTGTCTTCTTCTCGCGCGGCGAACGTCAGCCGCCTGTTTTGCTTTCCACGCGACGACGCACGCCGCGAGAAAGAGGAAAAAGCAGGAGAAAAACACCGAGAAGAATACAAATAGATCGATGTGCAGTTGATCTTGGCGGAAAAATATGACCCCGAAACTAGCGGCACCGTCGTCTGTGTGTCGTGCTCGAATCACTATGTAGAATTTCGTGTGCGATAAATCGTGAACGTGTTGCGGCAGTGTTAGCACGAGGCGGTTGCGCAGGTTTCTCACGCGGAGTAGAATATTCCTTCTGTCTACTGTAACGTACGTGGCCAAACTCTTGCAGGTATAATCGGCCAAAGTGTACTCTACTTTGTCATAGTACCACGTGACGCGCGGTTCCTCAGGCATGTGATCGTCGAACGATGGTATTCTCCGATTTGGCTCATGTTTGTGATAAGTGGGATCCAGTTCGACTGCATGATCCCCGTTGCTCGTATTCACCGATACTACAAACGAACTGTCGTTTGGACTTAGATATAGATCAACAGCGCCCTGTGTCACGTCTACTATTACTCGTATATCAACGTTCATATATCTTGGATTTACGGCTACAAAAACGGTTTGACCGGGATACAGTGGTCTGGGTTTAATTTTACATTCATCTGAAATTGAAAAAATATATCATTAAGCAAGTTCTGTACAAACCTGGGTATCTTAAACAGCATACGAAAGTATCATACCAATTGATTTTCCGTCAAAGCATAATTTATTCTCTATGTTTATAGTTTTATAACACTGATGTCCATTCCTTGGGTCGCCCATGTAGAGATCCTTACATTTGACACACTGGTACCGCCAGCACTCTTGCGCTGAGTTTTTACTGGAGCTGGTAGTTTGACACGAAATGTCGCTTTCGGTGTTATTGCCACAGTTACATTTTTCACCAGTTACTGGATCACAAGTGTCACCGTGTCCATGGCATTCGCAACTGAAATCACGTATAAATACATATATATTTGGTTAAAAGACCTGATTTTGTAAAAAGGTACCAGGAAACTATCGTCTTCGAGTGTAAAAGTTGTTCATTCAAGTAGGTATATCAGCATTTTCAAATTGAATACAAATAAGTTTGGTTATGTCAGTGTTTGACGTTCATTAAGGCGAGTGAGTTCAATACTCATATTAAACTGCTGTCAGTGGCGGACTTACATATTTGCCGCCCCTACTAGCAACTGCAATTCAATACTCTTTTGTTTACGTGTGGAATTTACTCGGGCCGTCACATCGAGATTTGCGGCGAGGCGGTGTGTCGGAATTGAACCGACTCAAACCATTCGCTACTCTATGCCTGAAATAGGAGGAATCCGGGCACAGTTTGTATTAAGACATCCGGACCAAAAAGTGATTGTCTTAAAAATGCACTGGTTTGATGAAGGTAGAAAACTATGTAATGTGTGACAGAGAACAACATACTTTGAAATTTTTTAGGTATAGTAATGAAGTTATTAAGTTCATTTGTAACAAAAACAAACTCACGGTCTGCAAGGGTCCCTGTAATCATCTGTTCCTCGGAAATATCCTTCTATACACTTTTCACAGCGAGGGCCATCGGTATTATTAGCACACCGGGCACAGCGGGCCTTGGTCGCGGCGTTAATGTCTCTATATATATCTCTATATTCTTCGGGTTCCGCCAAACCACCTACGTCACGTGACGTCGGCGCTGCATCAATGTCGCTAGTACATATTGATGTGTGGCCGTGACAATATGTAGAGCAAGGTACACACTGAACGTTATTGACTGGATCGCCTACGAAATTGGGTTTACATTTTTCACACTGGTCACCCTGTAAAAAAAATGGCCCGAATAAGCACATACAATAAACAGATATGAAGGAACCAGACAGACTGTATCATTCACTTAACAACTTTTACACTATGGATATATCAGTGAAATACCGGGTGTTAGAAAAGTACCGGAACAGCAAAATAATTCGCTGGGGATGCATTTTTCGGCAATACGTTAAACAACAAAGTTAAAGGAATTTTTCCTTACTATCCATTGGTGACCTTTAATTTGACCTTGCACAACGTTTAATTTATATCAAGGGTCAAGGGCAATTTTCAAATGGGATTGCATATTTTTGAGCTTGGAATTGAAAAGTACCTTCAGTACGCAGTAAATTTTGACCGCTAGAGGTCATGCGAGGCCAAGGTTAAACGCACAAAATCATAGGTAATTGATTATTCTCTTCAGCCAAGAGACAAGCTACCAAATTTAGGGTTTTTTTTCGTGGCTATTCAGTGGAGAACTTAGATTATGAAGTTGTAAACTCTGATCTGAATTTCAATGTAATGTCATTGTCATATTCCCCATTTTATTGAAAAATAGTTAAATATTATTTACCATGGTATTATTGAAGCATGCAGTACACTTGTCGAGCTTGTCGGGTCCCTCGCAGTTGGAATGACCGTTGCACTGGCACTGTATGGTACAGTTGGCGCCCACGTAACCAAACTCGCAGCGGCACTCATCGGGAAATACACAGGAGCCGCGCACACAGCCCTGAGAACACACTGCAACGCAACCACCGCCCACCGCGGATCGTTTGTGGCCTGCGCCACACGTGCATTCATAGCCCTCTGGTAGATCACGACACACCTACAAAAGAACTTATTAAAATATGTATACATTGAGTGGTTTATCTAAAACGAATATCAATAACAATATTTACTTTTAATATGTGTTTTTTTACTGATTTTATCTATTTATTATTATTATTATCTCTCTAATACCTTTAAACGAGCAATTCTTGTATATATATATTTAGGAACTTACCTAAAAAAATACCGTCTATTGATATCGAATAGTATCATTCGCGTACTAATATATTAATCACATAGTAGAATAAAGAAATGCCTTTGTAAAAAAACATTGCTATCGTAATAATCTTCCAATAGGGTATTCAACTACTGTGTCCTTACTAATACATTACATTACCAAACAATACTAATTAATTGCCAAAGTATAATAACTTTATACAAATAAATAAAATAGAAGTGTCTGTTTGTAATGTCAAAATTATAGGTTTTTTTCATGCTCAGGCAGTTATTTGCACGATACCTATGCCTAAAAACCAGTTTAAATATTTTTTGGCTGTCTTTCTGTTTGTTCGGGGTAATCTTCAAAACGGCTGGACCAATTTTGATAATATTTTACTACCAGCTGTCTATACAAGGAGTAACTTAGGCTATTTTTCCTCTCAGAAAACCCTTTAAAATTTTGCCCGGTCTGGGAATCGAACCAACTAAGGCAGCGCTTTTCAAATTCCACGAGAACGAAGTCGCGGGTACCAGCTAGTAAAAAATATATTCTTGCTTGATTTAAGTAAGTAGGTGCTTTTAATAAGAAAAAAACTTTTTTGTTTTCAAATTCTTGCTAAAATTATTATGTATTTAGCACCACATGGCACCATCTGTTTTCTCAGATATTTTGTTTTCAGGTTGGTTTTTCAAATCTCTTTTAATATTCCTCAGAGTTGCTGTGTTCAGTATTGTTTTTTTTTTATATACTCAGTCATACTGCGTACCGACTGGTTTAAGCTGAGTTTTTAAGTACCATCAAGACTAATCTAATAAAAATTCAAGTTTTTTAATGTGACATTGTTACTACTAAAAACACACTACAATACAATAACAGAAGAGAAAATAGATGCTTCAACAAGTACTTATTTAACGTCGCCTATAAAAGTTTCAAATGTAAATTTATTAAACCATTTTTACACATTGCATACTAACAGGGAAGTATTCATCTGATTCCGGAATATGCATAGTTGCTTTTAAAGAGCCAACATACTTTTTTTATAATGCATTTTTTAAAGTTTAGAAAGAGAATTCACGAAAGTATATAATCAAAAACACTAAAGTACGGGAGCATATATAGGAATCGTAGCCCGGAAGCCTTAGTGCAGTAGTCAATCTAGAGTCAATCAAACATTTGTATGTAAGTGAGCACCGTCTATAACCCCGGCGGCTGCCGGCATCCCTAACAAAATAGTAATTTTTAGATTCAGTAGTAATAAGTTTTGCTCTAATTTGTTACTTTATAATTGTTTATCTTATCAACCATCAATTAGATAATTCTAACAGTTAATATTTGTTTAGAATTAATTTTGTTAATTGTAGGTGTTGGGATGCATTCGTTTTGTACAAAGTATCTCGCACATAAACTAACATAACTAAAACCAATATTAATTGTGTATTAGAATATTTTCGAATTTTTCTTACCTCCGATTCAGCTTTACATTGATGGTGATTATTTTCGCATTCGTTCTCTGGCGGGCAGCGCGTGTAGTGCCAAGAAAAGGTTTCGTTAAAGTCGTCGGTTTTGTTGAGCGGATGTACGGTGCCGTAGACTGCAGCGCAAGTGGTACGTGTGGAATAATCGAGTGGAGCGTCGATAGAACCCTCAGAGCAGATACCCTGGCCGTTGGCGCCGCTGAGAGCACACCAGCCGCAGTGTGAGTGGTGCAAGCATTCCGAGCACTGCTCAAATGTGCCGCATGGAGCTGGACACTTGCTCTTATCCGCCCGGGTCAGCACGAGCCCGCACACACCACCCGCGCAATATACAGGTTGGTAAGCTGGTGATATACACTTGCCCAGATAAGTCGCCCACCTACACTCCGCAAACCCGCCCTCGCCCCCGTCTGAACTGAGGCAGGATTGGCAGTCATCGTACGTGTGACATCTATTCGGACACTCTTCGCTCTTCGTTGGACGAAGACTCGGCCGCCCAGACTCTTCAGACAAAGCGCAAGTCCAATTGAATAACTCTACAGAATCCTCTGATATTCTTGTTAGCTGACCTAGAATTACATTATTAATACATGATGAGACCTATAAGTCAAAACTTACTACTTTATTAAAACAGAAAATATAGATACCTTCTCTAACAGCATGTCTAGTCCATGTACAATCGTTTAAAGCGCATTTTTCGCAATCAGAAGCAGCACATCTGAGTTCAGGACAATATTCAGGATCACTAATGTAGGTAGTTCCAGCGTTGCACTTCATGCTAGTGCAGGACTCATCCGTAGGTACACACTCACCTTAAACAAATGTTCTTATTTTCGAAAAATTTAACTTCATTTTATAAATCTTCGATCAAATAAACTATACGATTACGGCTCGAAAAACGGCGCCAACTCAACTCGGCTTAAATTGGAAGTTTGCACAGTTACCTTCACAGCCGCTTCGCGTTGGTAGTGACGTTCAACGATGCGAGAGCGTGCAGTAAAAAATGCAAAAACTTCATTTTAATTCAATCTATAAAAATTTCACCTCTCCCTATGACGGTTTTTTAATAGGCTGTATTTCGAGAACGGCATCACACGAATGCACGAACACACAGTCTTAGTAATAGGGTTCGGTTGGGTAAGGAACTCTGAACACTATTTATTATTAAGAAAAATATCTACATACATGTCGATTCCACAAGTTTCCTGTAACCTTAGTGCATGGAATACGGACCAGGTAGGTACGTACTGAGCGGCACGCGACAACGACGCTGTACAATCTGTACATTGACGTTTTTTGAGCAATTAATACGACATCTTTCTACATGAACATTCATTGTATACATTTGTTTATTTTCTGGATAGCATTCTAAAAACATACATGTATGAGTATATATTACATTTGAGTGACACAATATGTCGTTGTTTTTGTGTGCATCTATTGTTTATTTGATCGAAGATATAAGTGCAATACTTATTCGTACATACCGACGGCAGCAGCACACGATTCACACCATCGGCATGCGGGTTTATCTTCTGGATACATTGGCCACGCTGCCAGACATGATGAGCAAGTAGTGAAGTTTTCACACGCCCGCCTTGAAACAAGTTCAGCATCGCACGCTGTGCCTGAATTAGTTGACACTCTGTCGCTACCTTCGCAGCCGGGCTTGTCAACTGAGAAGCATTTCGTATAATTTCCCGTACTGCAAAAACTACATCCCATGTGGCTGCGGCAATCAGATTTGTTTGAACTCCATAAAGAACAAAGATCTTCTGGCAGTGAAATGCGAGTCACTTGACAGTGAGCGCTACCTGTCCATCCGCCAATTACGTAGATATAACCTTCGTTTTCAGACTCTAAATCAATTGCCATTGCGTGTGCTATTGTAGGAGGTGGCGGATGTCCTACGATGCTAACACCTGAAAATAAAAAACCAAATAATTTATAAAATATAGAAACAAGATAAAGATGTGCGTACACATGCGACAACATACGATATTATACAAACCTTTCACAAGTCGCACCCATTGGTTACAAGCATAAACATAAGCTATAAGAGAGTCAGAAGTGTTTTCAGGATCTGTTCTTCCACCAAAGATGATCATATACTCATTGGTTGTGACTGCAGAATGTAAATAAGTTGCCAATGGTAAATTATCATAATAATGATTCAAATTAGGAAATATAGGCAATTCACTCCACTTTTTGGTAGGATAGTGAAAAGAGAAGAGCTTATTAGACAACATAGTGCCGTTGTATGAATATAGAATTCCACCATATACATATAAGCTTTGAGAAGGCACATGATAAACAGTGCTATGGCCTATTATTCCAGATGGTTTAGAGCCTTCTGTTGTTAAATGTATCCATTTTTCATTATCAAGATCAAATTCATATATGTCGGACATAAATCCTTCTTCTAAAGAAAATCCTCCTATTAAAACCAAACTTTCGTAATCTTGATACTTTTGCAAAGTTAAAGTGTGACCAGCTAGCGAGGGTGGATGTACATCTTTATTTCGAATGTTACTCCACCTGTGGTCTTTTAAACTGAATTGCCAGAAATCACCGAGAGTTTTATTCTGGCCACTTTTCTCTTGAAAACTTAATCCGCCATACACGTAAACATTTTGCTTAGAATGATAAATCTCTGCGGCATGGAAGTATCGACCTTCAGGCATTTTAGCATCTGGAGTTGCCTCTACAGTAACTTGCATCCAAGTGTTGTTCTTTGTATCAAAAAACCGTATATCATTTAAAGGACCATGAGACAAAGAATATCCTCCGAACATCCATAATCCTCTTCTATCAGCGACCAAACTATGTCCAAACCTTGGTAAAGTTTTTCTTAAATGATCTAAACCGTCCGATAAATACTCAGAGTTAAAAAGTTCTGTAAATACAAGTTGAGTTTTATCAAGTCTAATTGAGCAATCATCTCCGCCATATCCTTCATTACACAAACATCTTCCGTAACTAGAATCACATATGCCCGCACTAATCGACATGCTGCAGTTGTTTCGACAGATTTCAACTTCACAATTCGTACCCCCGTATCCTTCGCGACACATACAATGCCTTTTGTTACAAACTCTCGGCCAGGAACAATAGCCGTCACAAGCGAGCACCTTGTACATACCTTCGAAGCCCTGCTCAGGTTGACCTTGTTTATAGTGTACTATTAGATTACCACTGCGGGCTTCTACCACACCCGAAGAGGCCCCGTTACAAAATACGCCTAAGAGCTGACTCTGTTGATTGTAACTTAAATCTGGCAAACCACCGAGACCATCGTATACATACACGGCATTTTCATCACAGGGCACATCAAACGTAGAAGAGTTTATAGTAAACTGAATTATAGCATCATTTATTTCGTCGGCAGAAATAATCCACAAACATTCCTTGGAAGGACCTATTGTTTTTATATCAGGATCTACTTTATAAGATCCGATGCCTTCAGTTTCAGTAGCATTTAACATTCCTCTAGGTTCACACTGATAGTAACATCTGCCGCCATGTCTAGGATCTCCGTAGAATTTCGGTTTACATCGCTCGCAGTTAAGACCCTCGGTGTTGTCCTTGCATATGCATTCTCCTGTAGTCACGTCACAAACACCACGGGTTTCGTCACCGTGATCGTTGCAATCACATCTCCGACATCCTTGTCCCGTTGTTGCGTTACCGTGACTTCCTGGTTTGCATGACTCGCAAAATTCTCCTTCGGTCCAGTCTTGACACTCATCACATCGTCCCACGCCTGTTTTACAAGTCGAATGATTATGGCAACCACAATTAATAGAACAGTCGGCACCAGTCCAGCCTAGGTCACAGTTGCACTTGAATACAGGGGCCCCCAAGCAATAGCCGTGTATGCAGTTGTTATAGCATGTACGCATGCAGATTTTCTTGCCGTCACCAATATATCCTTGTTTACATTTACACGTATATGAACCATGCGTGTTATTACAGATAGCATTTTCGTTACAGTCATGTAGGTTAAGACCGCACTCGTCGACGTCGGGACACTGGGCGTATGCCCACCCGGCGTCTGACGCGGTCACATTTAAAACAGAAGCACAATCAACGTGAGAATGCGTAAAGTCACCCTCAGTGCACGCACCCTTTATAGGGTTTTCATGTGAGAAACACCAACCGCATCCCATGCTTCGTAGACAAGTGGAACACTGGGAATTGCGGCGGCACGACTTGCATTGGCCCGACTTGCGCGTGGGGTCATCGGGCGGTGAGGAAGCGCGATCGAGCCACTCACGGCAGAGGCCGAACTGGTACTCGCTAGTGTATACACTGAAACTGAAGCACTGGCGAGTGGCTTCACACCACACGCAGCGGCCGCGCTCGTCGAGACAATGCTCGCAGTCCCGGCGCATGCGACAGGGTGCGGGGCATTGCGCCGCGTCGGAGATGGCGCCGCCAGCTCGTCCACGCCGTGCGCAGCGCGCCTCATCCGCCCACCACTCGCAGTAGCTGCCGCTCACACATCTTTCGCAGCTTATGTAATTGGAACAGTTGGGGCAGGCTGCCGGCTGAAGCGTAAGATATCTCCAATCGCCATCTGCGATGCACGATGTTGTCTCCTCTGCGCTTCTCGATTCGCATCGATTAGTTAGCTCGCACCACCCGCACGAAGCGTCAGACAAACACAGAAGACAGTTGTCATAGTTTGAACACTGACCGTCGGAATAGGGCTCCAGAAACTCGAATGTAAATACCTGCAGCAATACATTTAACTAGTAATTTCATATTTACAACTCAGACCAATATATGATATTTTTAAATATGTTAATTGTTAGCTACATGATTAAGCTTATGTGATTTTGTGATTATGTTGTCCAAACCGTGAATACTGTGTTAATTCGTAAGTGCCATGTATTACATGGGCTGAAAAGTCCCGGGCCTAACACATAGATGGCTAGATACATAGATAGTTTTATTGCAGTCACCTTTTTTCAGTTAATACTAACCTTCAAAAGACAGCTGTTAGAATTTCATGATATTCTATTCATTAGTTTGTGAGTTATTGTGCTAAGAGTGACGCTACTTTTGTTATTTTCAAAACAATGGATCAAAAACAATTACGTGTTTTAATTTTACACTGCTTCTTGATGGGAAAAAATACCGTCCAAGCGAAGCAATGGCTTGAAAAGTGTTATGGGGACTCGCTCCAACAGAAACAACAATAAAACGTTGGTTTGCTGACATCAAACGTGGTCTTAGAGACACCGATGATGCAGAACGCAGTGGACGTCCAGAAGACATAAAAAAAATTCCACAAAGTCGTTTTGAATGATCGAAAAGTGAAGTTGCGTGAGTTAGCTGACATCGTAAAGATATCAAAAGAACGTTTTGGCTTTATATTGCATGAGCATTTGACTATGAGGAAGCTCTGTTCAAAGTGGGTGCCGCGTTTACTCACTGTTGACCAAAAACGAGAATGTGTTGATGATTCTGAGCAGTGTTTGGCCATATTTAAACGTAACAAGCCGGATTTTTTGCGTCGATATGTGACAATGGATGAAACATGGATCCATCACTTCACTCCGATCACAAACGATCGTCATCTGAGTGGACAGCAACTGGTGAACCTCGTCCAAAGCGCCCGAAAGCACAACAATCGGCTAGAAAGGTTATGGCCTCGATATTTTGGGATGTGCGTGGTGTAATATTCATCGACTATCTTGAGAAAGGAAATACCATTAACAGTGAATATTATATAGCGTTATTGGAGCATTTGAAGGCCGAAATTACAAAGAAACGGCCGCATATGGCAAAGAAAAAAATTTTGTTTCATCAAGACAAGTCAATCAAAACAATGGCAAAACTACATGAATTAAACTTCGAATTGCTCCCACATCCACCGTATTCGCCAGATTTGGCTCCCAGCGACTATTGGATGTTCGCAGACCTGAAAAAAATGCTCGCCGGTAAGAAATTTCGCACGAATGAAGAGGTTATCGCTGAAACTGAGGCCTATTTTGAGGCAAAAGGTGAATCGTTCTACAAAAGTGGTATTGAAATGTTAGAGCGGCGCTGGAATGATTGAGTTGCTCTTGATGGAGATTACGTTGATGATTAAAGCTAATTTTGAACCAAAAAATCTGTGTTTTCTTTGTTAGGCCCGGGACTTTTCAGCCCATGTGTTATATAAGAACATCATTACCTAGATTTTACAAATGTTGCGTATATATTTAACATTTATGTATATGCTGTGAGTTAACAAAATAAAAAAATAAGCTAACTCTAAACATATAATTAGTGCATACATATTGAAATCAGACTGATTTATATAAACATATTTACCTTAGCACTCTCCTGGGATTTGTTATGAAGTAATTCCATTTTAGCATGATGATGAGATGGATATAGCCCTGTGTGCAGCGAGTCGTTAGCAAGCATATCGACTGCAAGGCGTCCAGGTAACAAGGTCGGCCAGTCAACGAGGGAGCAGGCATACGGTTGAGCTGTCAAGTTGGCAACGGCTGCTGTGTTGTCTCCCAGTCCTAATGATATATTCGAGTAGCCAGCGCATATATGCAACGATTCACCCGTCCCATTCCAATTCTGAGGGATACGTAACCAGCCTCTAAGTCGAGCTTCGCTTCCGCCACTGAAGATATGATTGCTGCCGCCTCCAGTACCCCAGTCAACAGTAGTAGCATTGACTACAGACACACCATCTGGATGATTCCAATCTGCCGGCTGCTGATATCGAAGGAACGTGAGACCAGGTCGTTTATCTGAATTTTTACATTCGTCCGGTGTCGTCACTTCTGTACCTGTGACGCCCCACCAACCTGGATTTTCTGAAGGAGTTTCCTCTCCACAGACTCCGTAGCTGTCTGAAAAATAAAACAGGATCATACTTTTCTGTCGTTTTAGACAATTTTAGAAAGTCGAATATGTTTTACCGTCTTTGTGATGGCATCTCGCGTTCTGTACACACCAGTTACACTGATCTAAACCGAGCTTAGTACTGACGGATGGTAGTGGAGTGCGCGAACTATTGGCATTCCCCTGTGGTGGGCCGTGGATAAGACAAGAGTGGCAATCACCCAGAGCGGGGCATATTCCTCCACATCGCATAGACTGTAGGTTTGTTGTGCAATTAGAGCCAATTGTTCTACCATAGCAAGTCTGTATAACAGAGAAAAACATTTTTTATTAATATAACCTCGAAATACAGATCAAATAACAAGTGCCATCTATTTACGTACATCGTCAGCAGAACACCAGCCACACTCTGGATCTGCTAAGCATTCGGGTTGTGTACGATGGCGACGACATGCAGATTCTGGGTGACTGTTAGTAATACCAGCCTGCCAACTCGGCACCACATATGCTAGTAAATCACCTAAAATAAAATAAAACAATTGATAAATCACAAGTTTGAAAACTTATTTCACAAAATTTCAATGAAGAGAATAGAATATTATTATTTATTTCATAAAGCACAGCATACAAAAATAAAACAAAAGTTAAATAACAACATACACAAAGAAACTAAAAAACAAATAAGGTTTGATAAACTCGTTAACAAGGAAACATTTTCAATGTGTCAATCTTTCATACCTCACAGAATTGACATAAAACGTCAATGTGCCACGTATCCAACCACGAGTCTATGAAATGTTACTTATAATAACTATTACATATCAACCTATGTACCATTCGTTTGCCCCCCTATTCCATAAATAACAAATAAATATAAAAAAAACCTTTAATGCTGCTGAGGGTTGTAAGTACGCCGTGTTTCAGAAAATTGCATTTGAATAATGATAATTGAATACTTTATTTTCTATACATTCCATCACCGTAGCACCTCGCTTTGAGAGTCCTTTCCTAACTGCCACAGCTAGCATCGGAAGCCTTAGCATAGATATCGAGCAAAGTGAGCGAGTTGAGTTTCCCGGTCACTTAAAGGGTACGGCCAAAATAACCTCGAAAAAATCTTGGCGTTCTGAACAGAGCGAAACGGTATTTTAATCCAGCCCATCCACCTCCAACTTTATAAGGCACAGGTCCACTGAATATAGAACACTGTTTCCAGCTCGGGGCAGGAGCACCCCCGAGCCGGCTTCTCCCTCTGGGCTGCATTCAACGGAGAGCGACAAAACATTTTATTGCCAGGACAAGTTATATCGGCTGGGCTCCTTGGCATTGCAAAGAAATTTAGCTTTACTCGCTCTCTTTTCTATCGTTCGTATTATAGGGAGTTCTCGCAGGAATTTTTCGGACTTATACCGGTCGCAGCTTGCCACCATTGTTCAACTCGAGGAAACTTCTATCCCCATCGCTTAAATGGCACTCCACAATTTTGAGCTTTTTAAAAAATTTTTGGCTTGCACAACCAATCTGTATTTCCAGACCTCCCAACCTCCAAAACCTTTCAAGACGAGAAAACTATTCCTACCTAAAAGACCGAGCACTTGTGACAAATGTAATTTGAGCGCTTAAGTTGCAAGTACCCGTGGGCGGATGTAGTCACTTACCATTAGTTTAACCATTTTGTGGTTCGCCCTCTATACCATAAAAAAAACCTAGGGAATAACTGTTAAACATAATATTCAAAAAGACTTACCATTGACATTCCCGTGATATCCGCCAGCAATCAATAAAGTGGATGGTGGCCTCAAAGCCGCCGCATGGGCAAACACTCCCTGCTTCTTGGGATAAAACTTCCGAGTTTTACCCAAAACGTCGAGAGGTATCCAAGAATGACAACCTAGATGGTAGATATACATTTGTCCATCGTAGCATATTTCTTCTCTATTGTGACGATGAGAATATCCACCAAAAACAATCAGGTAATTGCCTGGAATTACATTTATTTATTTAAAGTTTTTAAGCTCTTTATATAATTAAGTAGTTAATGTTACTGGTAAATGAAGAAATAAAAACCTATAACAGTTGAAGTGTGAAATGCTCTCTCCCGTGGTACATACGTATCACGTAGAAGCGCTCGTGGGTAATGTATTTCACTCCAGTGCCTGTAGTCTATGTCAAAGGCGAACATTCTATCTGAGAGCTTCGAGAACCTGTACCAAATAATTATCGGTATTAATATGTAACTTGGGAATTAATAATCTGTAGTAAAGAGTATTAGGTAATACATTAAAATTGGTTGTACTGTTGTGGACATTTGATTTATAGATGTACATTTTTTAATATTATCTACGCTAGAGCTGCCGGACTGTCAACGCCTGGTGCGATGCGACATCAATATCAGCCGTTATTATTTTCGATATCTATTTTATATGTTATTTGGCATTGATACTTCATTTATTTTGAGGCCAGATGACGTAGTGGTTTGTGTAACAGATTGCTCGATAAAGGTCGCGTGTTTAATTTCCGCTCAAGTCAAACATTTGTGTGCATGAACATTTAATGTTTGATTTGGTCTGGGTGTTTCTATGTATAATATAGGTGTATTTACAAAAGAAAAAGTATATATATACTATAATACATATGTATTTATACTATTTATATCAGTTCGGTATAAGCCCTACTTAGTTTGGGACTAAATGGCGTTATGTGAATTTGGTACAATATTACGCCTACTATATCTGATGGCTGCTATTTATGTATCCGGAATAATAAAATGAAACAAACATATATCATTTATTATAGTTTTATTGCTTATCAAAATATTCGCCGGGATGATCGACGCACTTTTGCATACGTTGGAACCAATTTCCGTAGCACTTTTTCCATTCTGATTGAGGTATCTCCAAAAGGTGCATTTTGAACGCATCAACAGCTTCTTCACGGCTCGAAAAACGTTGACCACGTAATTTATTCTTCACAGGGATTCACTGATCCACGGGGAATAAATAGAAGTCGTGGCAGGCCAAGTCTGGGCTGTACGGCGGTTGACCCGTTGATTCGATCTTTTAATCTTCCAAATACTGAGTTGTTTTGGCCGATGTTTGGAAGTTACCATTTTCACAATGAAGAATGATTCTGCGTTGTCGGTTATTCTTTCTTATTTCTTCAAAGACTTTTGGCACACAAATGGTCGTTTACCATTCAGAATTAAACGTCTTAGCCACATGTCCATTTATACGATGTTGCTTTTTGAACGAATGACTTTTGTTGGGTTCGGCTCAACTTGGAACACCCAAACCGTTGATCGTTGGTTAGGTTCAGGATCATACGCATATATATATATTTCAGGATATACGCAAGATTCATCACCTGTGTAGATATTATAGAGCGCTTTTGACGCATCCTGATTGTACTTTTGTACCGATCGACACGAGCCCGTTTTTGGTAAATTCTCAAGTTGCAAGCGGCATCTTGATCCAACGTGATCATTTTTTTTTTCTTACAGCTAAATGTTCGTTTCATATATTATATGTACTCGTCATACTTATTCCCAGAGACGCCTCTATCTCTCGATATGTAACATGACGATCTTGCATTATTAGGTTCCGCACAGCATCAATATTTTCAGGTACAACAACCGATTTAGGGCGACCTTCTTTAAATTCGTCGGTGAGCACAGACCGCCATCGATTAAACTCACTAAACCAGTGATACACAGTTGTTTTTGATGGTGCTTTGTCCCCAAAGGTCGCAATGAGTTGATCAATGCACTGTTTTTAATTTAGCCCTCGCCTAAAATCGTAATTAATCGTAGCACGAAAATTTTCACGAGTTAAATCCATAGTGATAAAGACACGCAATTAACATGAAACAAATTGTATTCACCAGCCAAAGAGTACCATTTTTCTATGCTATAATTATTTTTTAGGGTGCCGTACCCAATTGGTAAAACGGGACCCTATTACTAAGACTCCGCTGTCCGCCCGTCCGTCTGTATCTCATGAACCATGATAGTTAGACAGTTGAAATTTTCACATATGAAGTATTTCTGTTGCCGCTATAACAACAAATACAAAAAACAGAATAAAATAAATATTTAAGGGGCATATACGACTAACGTGCTTTTTTGCTTGTTTTGCTTGAAATATTTAGTTATATATTCGCTTTAAAAATAAATAATTAAATTAAAATAAAACAAATATTTTAAGGAACACTCCCATACAACAAATGTGATTTTTTTGCCGTTTTTATAGATAATGGTACGGAACCCTTCGTGCGCAAGTCCGACTTGCATTCGGCCGGTTTGTTAATATTTTTTCGTAACTGGTCAGTTCCTAAACTGAGCCTATCTGACACGTACAGATAACACAACCAGCACTCATGTTATTGTAGTGTTTACTTCTGATAAAAATTCCCCCTCGATTCGTTGACCTTAATAAAATTAAGTAGTTTTTTATTCAGAGCTCTTTTTCTACAGATTCTGGTTCTTATAATCTTCTTCTTATATACAAAAATGAAATGCTGTTCGTTAGTCTTACTAAAACTCGGGAATGGCTTTACCGATTTTGTTAATTTTGGCCTTGAAATATTTGTGGAAGTAGAGAGAAAGTTTAATTGATGAGAAAATGTATAAAAAGCTGAAGAAAATAGTCAAAACAACAATTTTATTTTTCAATACAAAATGTTGCAAAAAAAGTTAAAATAATTTGCTTTCAAGCAGCAGAAGCAGACGAAGTTGCGCGAGTCAGCTAGTTGATAATAAATAATTAATATACCTATTTACAAATTACCTCAATTAAAATACATAACATCATCTTACAAAAACCTCAGCACTGAAGATTGTGGCGGAAACAATTATGCATTTATTGAAATGAACGGTAATTTATTATGTTCGTGATGCGTTTCATAATTACTTATAGCAAAGGTACATACCGTGCTACACTAGCTACCACTCCACCATAAACTAATATGGAATTGGAATGTGAATGATAGACTGCAGTGTGTGCAACTACGCGTACATCCAATTCTTTCCCGCCTCGCGCTTGTACTTTTTCCCAGGACTCTGTCTTTACATCACCAAGTTTTATTTTGTACATACTACAACAGATCAAAGTAATAATGTTAGATAGGAATTAAAAATAAAGCTATGGTGTTTAGAACTATTATTAATTTACCTCGAGGAAAATTCTCCATCTACCGTACTCCCACCAAACAGATATAGTTCATCTTTGACTGCTGTTATCGTATGTCGTGTTAAACCAGGAGGATTAAAGGTAGAATTTACTGCTCGTAGAGTCCATCGGTCATGTACAGCGTCATAAAGCCATAATTCAGACGATAAGCTTCCATCAGATAGCTTGCCGCCATACAAAACGAAACCATTGTCGAATGCGCACGCTGAGTGTCCGTATCTTGGTTCAGGTTTTGTTTTGTTCGGTACGGACATAGTACTCAATACTTCCGGTTGTTCCGTAAAGTGTATATAGCTTTCTGCATATGGAGTTGACGCATGTGAATACATAAGAGGTAACGTGGTTTTATCTTGATTGGAAAATGACGACAGTAGTAAATTAAATAATGAGCTCCTGTTGCTTATAGGCCAGCTGCCGTCTACATTGCCCTGTAAAAGTATACATAAGATCGTTTAAAAAATATCTGAGCCTTTATAGTCTAGGAATTTTAGTAAATGAAATTGTAATGCACTTTTGAAAAGATTTGAATAAATGTTTTTTTTTTTAATTAAACCACATAATAACAAAAGGAATGTGAGTCAAACACTACTATTATTCAAGTTACCTCCAGCAGATGAGCTAAATGCTTGTGTTAAGAGTGGTTTCACGTCGGTTGTGTATACTGCATGAGGTTCAAACCCGCTACCACAAGTCCGACGCCTTAGCTATTACACTATGGCCGTATATAATGAAATATTTGGTACGTTTTTGAACAAATAAAATTCTTACCTTCGTGAATATGCTTAACAAAGACTTATCAATTTCTTCATTAGTTGGATACCTCCGTAAAACTTTTCCATTCTCATCGTACCATTGACTAGTTGAAAATCTAGAACGTTTAACTGGCAATTTTAATTTAAAGCTAGTGGGAGACACTAAAAGTTACAATTACCTTTTCTTCAACAAGTTTGAATGGGGTACTAATCAGTAGACGGTTATGCTAAATTATTATAGACACGCCGAAAGAAGTTAATTTTCTTTATTTTGTTAAGATAATTTAGTATTAGTAGTAGTTTAGTATTTAGATATCTCTCAAAGTAAGAATGCAAACGCGTAAAATAGATGAACATTTTTAATATTATTTTAAGTACCAACAGTATTATGTAAATATTCAATCTTTTAGTAATTAAAGTGCAATAGATTTAATTATTGAACTAACCTGTATATTTCTAATAAACCCAGCACCTTATTAAGATCATATCCTCCAAATACATAGAGTGAATCCGTATGATTTACATAGACTGCCGTATGAGCAGCTCTTTTGCTCATTCCACTTTCTGTGTGAGATAACCAGTGCCAGCTGTTACCTTCTTTGTCTGTTTTCTTCAAGGAGCATGATTCACCAGAATACCTGAACCAAACAGTATTGTGTTATAGCATTCATCAGTATTGTTGTATATCATTTTGCGATATAGGAATATAAATTCAGTTCAATTATATTGTAATATCGCAATATCATGGCCATATCCGTGAGCAGAGATATATAGTTACTTTTACTTAACTCACAAAATATATTTTTATGGATGTTTTTGTAATAGGATATTTTAAAATATTTCCAAATCGTATATTTGCAATCTTTAATTCTGCTGTGCGTGTGTATGTATTCCTAAGCGGCTGGACCGATTTTGATGAAATCTTTTGTTTGTGTTCAAGCGGATTCGATTGTCGAATCCGCTTGAACACAAACAAAAGAATATAAATAAATAGTTTAGATTAACAATTCGGTTTACTACAAAAGGTTTTTTTAGTTTATGTCGTGTGTACAGGACAACGTCGGTCGCTTTTCCTAGTATAACATTATAAAAAACAAGTATTTTAAAATACACATTAGGGAATTATAAAGGACAAATAAAAACAATATGAATACATAATTATAAATTCCTTTTTATATATCCCACCGGTGGCAAACAAGTTCGATTGTAAGTTACAGGAACATGTCTGTAATCTGATCTTGTAAATCCGTTTCGTTAAATTGTTAAAATCGAATTATGTTAAAGTCAATATCAAGGTCCGATGGTTTTGGTTTTTCTTTTTTATATTTAAAGATAAAAGGTAGGCATTTCATATTTCCTAACATCCATATTTTACCATACCTATTATTTATTACCAAAGATTTACTCTCGTAACTTTAATAAATATTTATTATTCGCTCTAATTTATCACATAAAAACAGAAAGCCGCCATCTTATGAATAAACTAAAATTAAAAAAAGAATCACGAGAGAGGCACATTCAAAGAAAAAATAGAACGAAAAAGTTTTGGTGATATTCTCTTTTGTATTCAAGTTTTCATAAAATTAAGATAATGACAACATTAGGAATCTATCTATCTAACAAAACAATTATTTTGATTAAGGCTCAAATATGATGTGCAAAAACTACCACAAAACCACATACTGTACTTATATATTTATGGTGCCCATATTAATCGTTTGTATGAATGTGATTGATTTTTTTTTTGAATTTACATGTATCATGTAGAAATGCTAGTTTAAAAACTTGAACTGGTCCCATGAGGGATACGTTAGTTTCAATATACGCATAGATCAGTACATGTGTATGTTATGTGCAAAGGGTGTGTTACAGAAATCGCTCCACTAGCGCACTACGAACAATCTGATTATACCCTTTCCAATCGTTTATTTAACTTTTGACAGCTCTAATACTTAATCAAATAGTGATACCCTGACCCGTTAAAGATCGATTTTATTCATGAAGAAGCTTTAATCGATTTAACACACTCATTGTTTTATCGATAATTTCGTAATTTTATCGATTATTAAACGGCAACACCGGACGCGGCGGCGACGCGCGACGCCATTTTGTTGTCAGTGTTAATCCACATTTTCATACGTCGAGTTGAGTATTTATATTCCTCCGTATTGATTTATTTGTTAATCCTCACGTTTGGTCGTCGTTACTGTCAAAATGCCAAAAAATAAAGTACTTAAAGGACAAACAAGAGAGTTTGTCTTGCGACTTCGTGAATACTTTGAAAAGGAAAGCCGTAATGGTGGGCCTCTTATACCAGTGACTCAAGTTAGAGACCGTGTTGCAGCAGCATTAGGTATTAGTTCTCCAACAGTGGCAAAAATAACAAAAGAAGGCTACGGCAGCAGCGGCATGGGACAGAATAAGCTATCTACACCTAAGAAAAAACGTCAGACCTGTAAAGTGACAGCAGTTGACAATTTTGACGCTGATGCTATTCGTCGTCATATATACGACTATTACCAAAGTAAAGAGATTCCAACATTAAACAACTAACACAATCTCTACGAAATAGTGGTTTGTTCCGTGGTCAATCTTCTTTGGCAAAGGTATTGAAAGACATTGGATTCTTATTGACCATTGATTGATGGAACGCAATGATATTGCTTTGTATCGATGCGATTTTTTAGGACAAGCGAAAAAAATAGAAGATTGGTCGAATGTTGTTTTCACAGATGAAACTTGGCTCAATGCGAATCATACGCTGTCAAAACCTTGGACTGACAATACTGCTGGCTCCACTTCTGCAGTACCAATGGGAAAAGGCGAACGACTGATTATTTGCCATGCAGGGACAGTAAAAGGATTTGTGCCAGACGCTCTATTAGCTTTCAAATCCCAGAAAACAGGAGATTATCATGAGGAGATGAATTCGAACGTGTATGAAAAGTGGTTCAGAGAAATGCTTACAACACTCGAAGAGCCATCAATTATAATATTTATTGATAATGCACCCTATCACTCTCGTCAAATTAATAAAATGCTAACGCAGGTCAACAAAAAACATGAAATCATAAACTGGCTCCGTGACAAAGGCGAGGAGGTAGACGAGTTCCTACTAAAAGTAGAGTTAGTAAAGATATTAATGTTAGTTAGAGTTAGTTAATATATTAATAGAAGAAATGGCAGCAGAGCATGGGCATACCGTCCTCAGAATTCCCCCATATCACTGCCAATATAATGCAATTGAAATGATCTGGGCACAAGTTAAAGGATATGCTGCGAGGAACAATACAACTCCTCCTTTCACCGCAAGAAAAATGATGGATTTACTAAAAAATGCGTGTGTAAAAGTAACTCCTAAAAACTGGGCTGTTGTAAAAAAAACAAAACAGGTGATAATGTCGGATTGGGATCGGGATGTAGCATTCGACAATTTATCTGTCAAAGAATTAATAATCAATATTACTGAGAAGTGATGATTTTTCCTGGTCATACGAAAAAGACGATTCTTTATAATTAAAAATAGTATTATAGTACCTCTTTTGGTTGTTTTATTTTTTAATCCCTAGAGTACTATGAATTTCAGCATTTTGTACCTGTTCATTACAAGTAGGTACCGCAGTTCATTCACATGCTTTTTATTTGAACCAACTACAGTAAGTCTAAACGATTATTTTAGATTCATTAATTTGCAGCGAATACAATTCGATCCCATTACTAGGTACGAGTACGATGGAACTGTTTTCATTACATTATTTATGCATTAAAACAGAGACATTTAGGGTATTTTAATGCAAAATAATAAAGATACGTGATTTGATATAAAATATAATCACAATAATTTTATTGTATGTTTTATTAATATATGATCGATTTATTTCAAAACCGTTTTTGACACATCTCTAAGTGGGCGGTGCCCGTCCATGAAGTACAGTATTCCCTGTAGTACATTGTATCAAAAATTATTACAAAACTTTATGTGCGTGATCTGTCAAAAGTTAAATAAACGATTGGATACACTATACCATTGACTGCCTGTGATTTAGATTTTTTGGCTATAAATGTACTATCTTTGTAATACCTAAATGATCCATTTTATTAAAATTAAACGACATACATTTGAAGTAGTATTAAATAGGTATAAGTAATTATTGGCGATTATTGCGTCTATAGCAGCGATGACTTGATGAGTGTCAAGAAACTAGTTTTTTACTTTGATATGGGAGATATGTAGATAACACGTGGCTCGGGGCTTCATATATTTATGCAACGACAATAATGGGGTTCTTTAGATTGTTTAATATAGCACTATGAATTTGATCCATGCTTTGTAATTTGGTCTGTTGTCTATGAAACTCTCCAAGTTTAAATGGGACAAAAAGGGCGCCAAAATGTGGATCACCTGATACTTATTGACGTAATGAAGTAATAATAATGATTTTCATTATCTTTCAAACAATAATGTACCTTACAATACTCCTTAACTTTACTATTACAATATGTACAGAGTAGGTATTCGTACTAAAGCATTCATTAAAAAAACGGTAAAACATACTTAATTACCTATTTATGAGCATTTTACAGAACACCAAAATTTGTCAAATGTGGTTAAAGGTAGCCTATATCAATCACTTTATAAAAAATTTGTAAACATAAATTAAATGTGTAATATAAACATAACCTTTAAGAATTTTGTGCTTTTTATTAGGGGAGAGAGCAAGTTCTCTAATTCTATAATAGATGGCACTGACAGTTTTACGCTATATAGTACGGTACACTCGTGCAAGTATAAGCCCCGCGCGACGTCGACCTGTCGCGACCGGTTTACTGTCAGTGCAAAGATTTCTGTTGCGCGCGCTGAATGTACGCTACGTAATTAAAATTCTGTTGGTGATTTTCGAAGTTCAGGGATTCAATATAAAACAAATAAATCCTGGTAAGTTTAGTATGATTATATGGCTATTGGAAACCGAATATTATTTCAACCTTTGTACGTTTGTTTTCGTCTGAAATCGAAACTTTTTTTTTTTTTTCGTTTCCTCCAGTGCCGGCCAGTACGCTGTCCTGCAGTACCGGCCATTCCTTAAATTAGTTTAAAAAGGTTTGCATTACTTACAGATACACATAAATGCCAAATGATACAAATGATGGTCAGACGAGGCAAAAAAGGGCGTTTGGGATGCGGCAGATAAGCATAAAGCTGTAGAAAAGGTACTAAATAACGAGATGAGTGCACGTCAAGCCGCAGAACGCCATCAGGTACCCCGAACTACGCTGAATGACAGAATTAGTGCTATTAAAAATAATGAAGAGATGTCCATTGCACCAGTTATGGGTCGTTTTCACAATACTTTTTGTCCTGAACATTAAGAAACATTGGTAGCACAACAGGCCAAAAAACATGGTGACTTATCGTTGCGAAGTGCTGAATCAATGAGTTTAATGAGAGCAGTAGGGTTTAACAGACCTCAGGTTGAGCGTTTCTTTGAAGGTCTTGAGACTTTGATGCAAAAGTTTAAATTCACTCCCTGTAAAATATCGAATTGTGATGAGCCTGGCGTCAGCATTGTGCAAAAGCATGCTAAAGTAATAGCAACTAAAAACCAAAAACAAGTTGGGAAGCTTACGTCAGCAGAACGTGAAAAGAATGTGAGTGTTTTTGCAATGAGCGCTGGAGGTCAGTTCGTACCACCTTTCTTCGTATTTCCACGGACCCGAATGAATGAAAGACTTATGATTAATGCTCCAAATGAGACTGTAGGTGAAGCTCAACCAAACGGCTGTCTGAATGCCAATTATTTTTGAAATGGATGCAACACTGTACAATATTCTAATTCTACAGCTGAGAATCCAGTGCTCTTGTTTCTGGATGGACATGCCAGTCATAAAGACTTAGATGTCATTGAATTTTCCAAGAAAAATAATATGCACATGCTGAGCACTCCACCTCACACTACCCACAAGTTATAACCCCTAGATCTTACGTTCATGAAACCATTTAAATCGGCTTATAATGATGCATGTGACTTGTGGATGAGATCAAATCTGTGTTAGAATCAGTGAATACGAGATTGCAGGGTTTGTTGCGAATGCCTTTAATCGAGTCTAAACAGGCATAAACCCCTTTGATAGAAATGTCTTTAGTGATTTAGATTTCGTTGGTTCTCTCATGAGTGACGTTACGGAGAATCAATCAACATCAGAACCATTGCTTTCACCTTCTCAGCTGTCTGACCCAACAACTTCAACATCTGCTCAATCATCAATTCTGCCGAATCCCAATCCTCAGCAGCAGCAAGCAGCAACAGGAACGACAAATTTACCCTTTCGACATCTTGAATCTCCGACTCCTGCCTCCGATTTTGTTGCTCAAACTGCAACTTGTGTGCAACGCAACTTTAGAGCTGCACTTTTAGAGGTCTCGCCAAGTCCTGATGCTTCCAAAAGAAGAGCTACTGCACGACGTCGTAAAGCGGAAAGAAGTGAAATTATAACGAGTTCTCCGTACGAAAAGATGTTGGAAGAGATAAAAATAGATTATTAGATAACTGATTATTTCTAAGCGATTTGGTTGTTGGTTATTTTTATTAATAGCACAATAGTTCTTGTAAATATATCAGGAGGTATTGATTATGTAACCTTGACAATTTTGATTTTTTTTGTAGATAAACCTTAAGGTGACGGTACTGTAGGACTCTCCCCTATATTGTTTTAAAGCATATTTTACAATACAGAGTGTTATTTATTCCGTTTCATATTCCTTACCTAAGCAAAGTATGCAAATAATAGGTACCCATACAATGTTGTACATATAGTATGGGAAAATATAAAAAAATATTATGTTAGTTATACATACCTACATTATTTGCATGGTAAAACAAATGACGAACAAGCAGCATCCATGGAGAAGTGTCGCAAACAATGGAAGTTCATACTAATAGATATATTAATTAATTCTATTATAAAAAGAAAAATCTATGTCTAATTATAGTAATAAAAACATTTAGAATATTTTTTTAGCCCAGTAGTAGACTGTGGTAATAGTAGTAGTATTACTGTCAATTATTATTATTCAAATTAAAGTTACTCGTCATCCCTCTCTCTATTCTATATAGGCGGGCTCTTGACACCGGCGTGATGCCCACAATCTGGAAGTCGGTAAAACCGATACATAAAAAGGTAGCTAAAAATATGATCCAAAACTATAGACCCATCTCGAAGCTGTGCGTAAACTTTTGAGTATGGATGTCGACAACTTATTTCGGTGGTTTACATCGTACGTAGAAAACAGATGTCAAACTGTTGTGCTAAATGGTTATACATCTAGAGGAACACTTACGAAAATTCCCTCAGGCGTCCCGCAAGGATAGCTGTCGGGACCTTTGTTATTTAATATATTCATCAACGATATAAGTACCTGCTTCCTATCCTCTAAAATTATTCTTTATGCCGATGATTTGAAAGTAATGAAACAGATAAATACGGCCCAGGACGTTATAGAACTAGATTTTAGGCGTACTGTAAAACGAATAGTTTTGGTTTAAACGTCAATAAGTGTTACGTGTGCTCCTTAACACGTAAACATAACCCATTTTGCAGGTTTATAAACTATTAGATACCTCATTGTCTAGAGTTAGTAACATTAAAGAGCTTGGAGTTACTTCTGATTCGAAACTACAGTTTGACACACATTTATAACATTGTTAGCAAAGCCTCCAAAGCACTGAAGTTCCTAGTCAGAGTCTCAGCAGACTTTAAAAATATTAAAACAATAAAAATACTTTATTGTTCCCTCGTTCGCAGTCATCTGGAATACTGTTCTCAAGTATGGAATCCGATGTATAACGTCTACATTGATCGAATAGAGCGCATTCAGAAAACGGTTTTTAAGATATATACAATATCGTTGCAGTTGTTATTTACCTGATTACATGAGCCGGTTTAAAATAATCATATTCTTCCACTCGTTGCGAAAGAAAAATAGCGGACCTGTCGTTTTTATTTGGCATCATGAGAGGAGCGATCGACTTTTCAGAACTATTGAGCAAAATGGCTTTAAATGTCCCGACAGCGCATCTTCGACGATTTAACTTGTTGCATGTTCCCGTTGTAGATTCTAACTACAGGCAAAACTCATGCATGATCAGAGCGAGCCGCATGTAAAATGCGGCATACCGGCGTGTTGCTGGCCGGCGGCATGCCGGCATATCGATATTTTCTCTACTAGTGTCACCAAATTAAAAAAACGACTGAGCAACGTTTTTTTGGACCAAGCAAAACAAACAAATTACATATATTAAGGTCCTTACATATGAAATTAGCGTTTTGTCGTACTGACCACTTTGATCTGACATATCTCCTCTTTGGTTAAGAAATTCAAATTTATAAATTCATTTAGCTGGTACATTTGAGTTTTGAAAACAGTCATTCATTTGTTTTTTCCTAATATTTTTTTTCTTCGGCGTCGTTTATTACCGCACAATGGAAAACATGAAACATCGGTATATTTACGAGTACGAGTTCTACCGTGGCACCAGTGCTTCAAAAACAGCTTGAAGGATTAATGATGTGTAGGGCGCTGGTGTCACAAAAGAAAGCACGGTACATTTTTGGTTTCAACGTTTTCGTTCTGGAAATTTCGACCTTCAGAACCAACTCCGTGGACGGCCGGAGACCAAAGTGGAAAATGAAGAATTAAAGGCTATTGTGGAAACGGATCCATCACAAAGCACTTCAGAGATAGCTACAGGCTTCGGGGTAAGTGATAAAACTGTATTAATCCACTTGAAGCAAATCGGTAAAGTAAAAAAACTTGAACGATGGGTACCTCATGAATTGAGTGAATCGAACTTGCAAATACGCGTCGACTGCTGTGTTACTTTGCTCAACCGACACAATAATGAAGGGATTTTAAATCGAATCATTACTTGTGATGAAAAGTGGATACTGTACGATAGTCGGAAGCGCTCGCAATGGCTGAACCCTGGAGACCCACCCAAATCCTGCCCTAAATGAAAATTTACTCAGAAAAAGTTACTTGTGAGTGTTTAGTGGAGGACTAGCGCCGGTGTCGTTAACTACAGCTTTCTAAAATCTGGCCAAACGATTACGGCAGATATCTATTGTCAGTAACTTCAAACCATGAAGGAAGAACCAGCTGCTAAACAACCGAGATTGGTCAATCGCTCTAGGCCACTGCTGCTTTACGACAACGCAAGACCACACACTGTACAACAAACAACCACTAAGTCAATTGAGCTACAATTGGTATGTCTGCGACATCCACCGCACTCCCCGGACCTTGCTCCAACAGATTACCATTTTTTCCGGAATTCGAAAAACTTCTTACAAGTAAAAAAAATTCAACTCCGATGCGGTAGCCCAAACAAGTCAAAGAGTTTATTGATTCTCGCCCTCATGGTTTTTTATAAAGGGATCAATGAACTACCTATGAGATGGCAAAAGTGCATAGATAACAACGGTGCATACTTTGATTAATTAAATATATTTTACAAAAAAAAAAGACTATTCCACGCGTACAAAACGCCAATTTCATATGTAAGGACCTAATATAATAATACCTATCTCTACTTTTCTATTGTCCTACCATGTTCAGAGTTGTCTTTTTCAGTGAGAACTTTTAATTGGCCTTCACCTATGGTCTTATATTAATTGTACCTCTAGCTGTAAGTTTTCCTAAAATATAAAAATAAAATAAAATTCTGAGGGCAATGTCAGTGACCTTGGTCAAAAAAAAAGACACGAGCTTTTGAGAATATTTTCGTGTCTTTGTTTCGCTCTATGGCTTCGTTAATAAGCATGGTATTAAATTGGCGTAGGTTTTTTTTCTGACACTTTAAGATCTGTCTATTGAGCTGCCGGTATTTGGATGCATAGTCTGGAGACTGTAAAATCATATTGCGCCTTTCCTCTATGAGCTTAAGAGTCACCACGCACCAAGGGTCTTCAATTAATGAGAACTGACCGTATGAACAGTGTCCACTAATCGGTCATTAAGTTCGTTAGCATCAACACAGTTCTCGAGGCATTCCAAGCGGCTTAGAAGCTGTAGCTGAATGCTCTCAGGGTTTGGATGTGGACTGGAGATGGTCGGATGGTCGGTCGTGGACTTTATCAGCCGCGATCTTTCAGGCTTGGTGTTGATATTCAATGTGCCTCTAACCAGTCGGTGATCGCTTCTGGTTTTTACTATGTTGATTACTTTTTTTTTCTTTTTATAACCTCACACATCTCACACACTGCTGTGTGATCCCAAACTAGGCAGAGCCTGTAATATGGTAAGCAGACAGCTGATAAACACTTATATATTTCTAAATACATACATATTATAGATAAATTTACACCCAGACACAGAACAAACGATCGTGCTCATCACACAAATATTTGTTCTGGGTGGGAATCGAACCCACGACCTCCGGCTTAGCAGTCAGGGTCACTAACCACTAGACCAACAGGCCCGTCATTACATTACATTACAGAGACATAATTGAATATTTGCATCTTCTTCTACATAATGAAGTCAATCTCATTTTCAGTTAGACCATTGGGACTAGTCCATTTCCTGTGCTCCCTCTTTCGGAAGAAGGAGTTCATCACGTGAAGCCCCTGCTTCTCCAGGAAGCCGGCCAGTAGTTATCACCGGTCGTTCCGTGGACCAACTCCAAATTGCCCCACGCTTCGTTTACCCAACTTTGCGTTGAAGTCCCCCATAACAACGGTGTAGTGAGTTTTAGACATGTATGGTTCTACTAATGTCTCCACATGGTCTCCACCTCATGATCGAGGTGTGTCGTGGTCAGAGCGTATACCTGTATAACGTTAAGCGAGTACCTTTTCTGTGAGTGTAAGGTACGCAATTCTCGACAAGACACTCTCGATCTTGACCACGCTGTTTTCAAGGGACAGATAATCGCCCGCCCGGAAATTGAACAAGTTGCCAGTTTGGAGTATTATCTAGTCCTTCCCCTCTCTTCGGACTTCAGATAATCCCAAAATGTCACAACTTAATCTGCTCAATTCCTCTGCCAGTTCGAGTATTTTCTCGTCAGTCAACAGCGTGCGCGTGTTGTAGGTTTCCAGGTCCAGTCGTCGTGTTTTAGTATGGTAGCCTGACTGTACCCGGCGTTTCTTCGCACCCCCTGCCCCGCTGTTTTCTAGATCGCTACCGTAGCAAAGAACAGCAGGGTCGCCGAAGACTGGGGGCCGTTTTTGGTTGTGCTTGCCATCGGGGGGTGTTTTGCCATAATCGCCACACTTGGCATGCGGGTCGGGAGGGTTCGGACTGTGCACAGTAGGATGCTACTGCCCATCCTCTGGTATACCATCCCTTAGTCGACTTCTATGAACGATAGAATGTCCAAGGGCAGAAATGGGGTCAAGCTATTTTTAGCCGGCACCACACGGCATAGAAGAATTATATTAGACTGAAAGTTGTAACTCATATAGTAATTTATATATTAAATAGTAAATGAATGTATGTATTGATCTTTTCATGCTTAAAGACATAAGTTATTTTGTGGTAGTACTAGGAAAGCTTCGAATATAAAACTTAATCCAATACAAAATGAAGTGTGTGTATAATAACCTATGTATATATTTACAAAGAAAGGTATATGCATTCATGTTTTAGTAAAATCAGTAAAAGCTCTACTTAGTCAGGGTATACATTGTCGCAGAACGACCTCCGTCCTCCATAAGCGCAGGCCTGGGGGTGGCAGGTGAGGCCATCTGTCACCCTAGCAGAATCAGGCGGGATGGCGGCGAGCGCGTTGCCAAGCGCGCTCGCTTCCAGGGAGCAGAGGGAACATGAGGTTCCCACACGGGGGGGTCGTCTACCTGTTGTTGTAGATGGCCGGAGGTACGTCGGGGCACCTTTCTGGGGTATACCTGGTTCCCCGGCTTTTAGTACCCGAGACGGCGTGCGGTTTTAGTCGGTTCGTGTCCGACATGCTACCGATAGGTGGTATCCGAGGGGATTTCCACACGGAAAAAAAAAACGGGTATACATTGTGCTCCGTAATTTGCCCTAGACATTATTATTATCTAGCTTTAGCTAGCCAGCTTGGCCAGCAATAAAATAAATTCTTAATGCTTTTATATGGTGACCTACAGTCGTCATAGGCCTTGGTAAACTAAAAAAAACAAGTCTCTAATTTGTTTTATACCTACTTTTGGCATTAATTTTATAAGAGGTATAATTATATTTTAAGGTACCTATTTTTATTTGACTGCAAATATTTTTATAAATTTTTAGTACTTTTTTTTTAAATACTGCCCTTTATGTTAGGTATATTGCCCTTGTGCAAAATTTTGTTTTACACCATACCACAAACTAAATTACGTATTAAAATTAAAATATTAAATTTTATAAAACATCGCTTACCCTTTTTTACATGCACATTTGTCTCCTTTGCAGTTTCCATTGCCAGAACACGCATTAGGACACAGCTCCACACTGCAATCCTTGCCGCCCCAGTTGCCGACACAAAAACATTTATTGGTTACACAAAGTCCTCTGCCTGTACAGTTATTGGGGCAGCTATGGATTGCATATGTCGCTCGAAATCCATCCAGTACATAATTAGTGTCACTATACAGTAATATTAACATCTAGAACAAGAAACAACAGTCAAGGAGTATTAGTAAGAATACAACACATTTATGGCTAATTTGAGCAAACTGATTTTAGAAGAACATTTTTCTTTCTAAACATAGAGGCTGTAGCTTTAACTGTCAAAGCTTTATGCATTGAGTCACCAATGCATTACTTCTGCCTGGTTTTTATCAATCTATCTATATTTTGAGTAGACATGTTTAACAAATATAATACTGTAGTTATAGAAAGTCCTACTTACATATCCACTAAATGCGGTAACATTTTGAGGCTCAGTTTTCCCACTAAAACTTCCAAGTAATGGTGCATCAAATGAATCACCGTCATAAACAAATACATAATCATAGGAACATTCTGTACCCATGCGAAGAAAACTCAAAGTAATATACTGACTCCTATTCTTAGCTTTAATAAGCCACTCACAGTGTGAATCCTAAAACAATAATAAAATGAGAAATGCATTCAGATAACATTAAGTAGTGTCAAGAACTAATTATACGTAAGACTGACTTGTGTGTAATTAGAAGTAGTAGGTCCATCAGTGATAACCCCGCTCGGTTCCGTGAATATTCTCCGAGTCTTGTCACAAGGTGCTGTAGATGCCGCGCAAAGAACAGCTAGGCAAATCCAGCTGATTACAACAATGCCTGCACCTTTCTCCTGCACACTTAGATAAAACATGCCTCTTCCGGATCGTCGTAAAACATAAGTCAAATAACAAAGCCATATAATCGTGAATTTGCGGCTAATATTGCTAAAATATAGAATAAACAACACTCATATAAGTTAATAGGTGACATCTATTTCAAGGCTAACCACTTAGATGATTAGTGCCACAATGGCATATAAAACTTTTGATGTAGATTAAGGAATAGTAATACTTTTGAGTGAAATTTACATTCAATGTTGATTTTTAGTGGCTGAGGAACACTTTCTAACGAGTTGTTCTTACAAACAAACAATTCACAGATCCATCACAGTATTTTGACATTTGATTTTTTTTAAAGGTAAAAATAAAGCTGCACTTAGTCTTTTAAGCATTCACTTGACATTGACAAGTTAAGATACGCCATAGATTTAGTATTTACTTAAATGAAAACCATAATGTAGCGTTTATAATATTAATTATCCATAGACACAATAAATTATATCTATCGTGAAAGTTAATTGTGTTTTTAAGGACTCATACCGAAACCATAGTGTAATGTAACTTTTCACTAACGCCATCTTCAGGTCTAAAAATTCATTGGAAACTATTGGAACAGTTCAGAGACTGAATCGGGCTGAAATTTAACCGTTGACATATTAATAAAATTTCTTTATTTCATAAACAGTAACTGTTTCTAATAATATTACTATACTCTGTCAGTAACTATTCAAACAACATTCAAACAATTAATCGTATGATGTAATTTACAAATATTCCAACAACTGTCACATTAAAAGTATGACTCTGAGTATTATCTAGTTTCTTTGTCAATGATGAGAGTAGAACGAGATTGTATGTTAGCGTCAAATTTTTTACACTTCATGTACCCAATAAATGTTGTATTTAATTTTTTTTTTTTTTTTTTTTTTTTTTTTTTTTTTTTTTTTTTTTTTTTTTTTTTTTTTTAAAAGACAACTCCCGCACTAGGAATAAATCCTGTGTCGCGGGGGACTTTACAAACATACATGAAACGGACACAAGGTACACCCAGACTCAGAACAACAATTTGTGGATCACACAAAGTGTTGGTCCATGTGGGGTTTGAACCCACAACACTCGGCGTAATAGAAAGCGGCGTGGCGACCGCTTTAACCACTACGCCATCCGTGCAGTCAAATTCTATTTCAGTCAAATTTTATTTTTCTGAAAGGCAACTAGTTTGGATATAAATTAAATTAAGTTGGTAGACAATTACCTTCTTCCGTCTTATCTAAGATTACTGATATTAATGTTCATTTCAATCAATTATTAAATAATAAAATTATAATAAATTACTAACGTCCATTCTGAGAATGACGATAGCATCTCATATTACGAACAACTCTATTATGTCTCACTGTCAGAATGGATGGGTACGTGGCACTAAAGAGCTCCTTATTATTGACACGACCATTAACCAACAAGTTCGCCGTAACCGAAAAGATATGGCGACATGTTGGATAGATTATAAAAAGGCTTATGACTTTGTATCGCATACGTGGCTCTTGAGGGTGATGAAGTTGTACAAGATTGATACAACTCTATGCACTTTTATGGAGACATGTATGCGGCAATGGAGAACGGTTCTTTGCTATTCAGGATGTCGGCAATCTCAAGGCGATGGCGAATATATAATGATTAAGCGGGGTATATTTCAGAGTGACAGTTTAAGTCCCTGATTCTTTGGTGTGGCTTTAAATCCTCTCAGCACTATGTTGTAGGGATCAAGGCTTTTTTTTTTCGGGGACTCAGGAGCCAGGAGGATGTGGTGATTCCACTGCAAACCACCCCGACGGCCAGCCTCAGGGAGGACCCGGCCCATATTATTTCAGGTCCTCCACGAATTGGCACCATGCCTAATCAGTCCCCATCCCAGGAGAAAAATCCTTCCTACCACAGCATTTAACTAGAACTTTAGCTTAATTTACTAACTAAAACCTTTACTGAATCTTTCAGGATGGAATTTGGTGTAAATAAATGTGCAATCGTGCATGTAAAAAGAGGCAGGGTTGTGGAATCTGATAGGTTGGAACTCTCAGATTGCACGCACTTTAGGTGTCTCTCAGCTAACGAAACTTACAAATATCTGGGTATGTCACAGGTGTAAATGAGTTGACTGTTCATTAACATTGTTTGTTTCATTAACAATCGTTACAGGAACGCTTCTTTAGCCACCTGAAAAAAGTATTAAATAGCGTTTTATATATATTATACAATGATTGGGTCATACCAGTTTTAACCTACTAAATGGATTCAAAGTGAACTAGATACCCTGGATAGAAGAGTTCGTACACTGCTTACTGCATACCGAATGCACCATCCACGTTCAACGGTGATGAGGTTATATATTCAACGAAAATGTGGTGGTCGTGGTTTTCTAAATGCCAGGAGGGTCCTGGCCCTGACACAATCATGAAATATGTAATCTCATGAACTACTTCCTTTCAGTTAATGTTAATATGCATATATGTAGTAGCAGTTGATAACGGATTCACTCCGCTTGGTCTAGGTAAAGAAAACTGGCGCAAAATTGCAGTACTCAACGTTACTGATCGTATGGAGATTTGGAAGGGCAAAGAGCTGCATGGACGTTTTTATCGGGTCTTGAACAGTCCTGAGGTAGACCAACTAGCATCTGTATTCTGGCTACGATTCGGTGATCTCTTCGGAGAAACGGAAGGTTTTGTTTTTGCAATTACTGATCAAGTTGTTATGACCAATAATTATCGCCAGTATATCCTGAAGGACGGCACAAAAGACATTTGTCGGTGAAAGCCTCAGACATATAATTTCCGGTTATTCTCGTCTTGCCAACGGCGAGTACCTGCATAGACATAACCCAGTGGCCAGGATAGTCCATCAGCAACTTGCTCTTAAGTATAACCTTGTGACTGTAGATCCCCCTTCCTACAGATTATGCTCCAAAACTCTTTGAACGTCTGAAGAAGGGGGAGCGCTTCCTTCGGCAAGACTCTCTGTCATAAGGCATACAAACTCATTCCCTTTCGAGAAAGAAGTTATGGTTTAAGAATCTTTATTTCTCAAAAGAATTTACAAAATTCACTTACTGAGAAAACATACATAAAAGTAAACAAAATAAATCCATTGAGCGTTTGAATATAATATAAAATAAAAGTGGGTAGTCAAATATATTTTGCGTAAGATTACGAACTTGCAAAACACTCGAACACAGAAAACAATGGGAATCCAAGCAACTGAACCAAAGATGTAACTTGAAATTATTAACTAGATGTGGCATCCAGATGGTAAGTACACTCTTCTACTTTTATTACTGAATTCTTTTTTTTTTTTTTGATACTTGATTGAGACTTGAGATTTTGTTTTATTTTTTATTTTTTTAGTTTTTTTGATTTATTTATTAAGATTTATATTTGTAAATATAAAAACATACACATATGCATAGACGTACATATACACATACATATACATACACACACACACACATGCATGCACATACCCTGCATGCACTTACACACACACACATACGCACACACACGAATATTATGTGCATATAGAATTGTTTTTATCCTTATTAGTTTATTTGATTGTGAATGTTTTAGTACAATAATAATGTATTAACTAATAAGTAGCTGCTATGTGTTTCTTCAATGTTTTTTTAAATTTAGTCAATGTAGTAGCATGTTTTATATTTAATGGTAATTTATTGTATATCTTTACTCCTTCAAATTCAATATTCTTCTTTCCATAGTTCGTTCTGGGTGGTCGAGTTACAAGATGGGTAGCGTTTCTTAGTTTCATTTTTTGCCGGGCACTATTTGTTGTAAAAGATAAACTAGTATGAATATTTCTGTTTAATATTTTACGTACCAATATACACGTGTAGTATTTATAAGTTTGCTTTATGGTCATTATTTTGGTGTCCTCGTATATTTTTTTAGTGGGAGTACGGAAGTTGTATCTAAAAAGAACCTTTATTAATTTATTTTGTTTTCGTTGTAAGTCATCTAATATAGTTTTACCCGCGGTTCCCCATATTTGAACTAAATAATCAATGTGTGGTTTGACTAGAGAGTTATAAATAAGGTATCGGACTTTGTGAGGAATACATTTAGTTATACTGAATAGGCAACCCGTCAGTGAAATAAGTTTATTTTTAATTTTATCTATTTGGGGTTTCCAGCTCAGGCGAGTGTCCAGAATGAGGCCAAGATATCTTTCATATGTCTTTCTCTTGATTGGTTCGTTATTTATGATCAGTGGTATATTATCAATTATTTTTTTGTTTTTGGCTGCAAAAATGACATAGTTTGTTTTTTTGGTATTTATAGTTAGTAAATTATGTTGGAACCAATCATTTAACATATTTAAATCATTCTGAATTTGGGGTTTCATAGCATCGACAGAATGGCCGTAATAAAATAGGCATGTATCATCTGCATAAAGTGAAATATCACCCTTAAGTCCAATTTGGGATATGTCATTGATATAAATTAAGTACAAAAGTGGTCCCAAGATTGAACCTTGAGGAACTCCATAAGTAAGATACTTAGGAGAGCTGTGATGTTGCCCGATTTTTACTATTTGCTCACGGCCGCTTAAGTAAGATGTTAATATTCTTAGCGCTTTGTCTTTAATACCTATATTAAAGAGTTTCTGTAATAATATCTCGTGGCTTATTGTATCAAACGCCTTTTTAAGATCAATAAAGATGCCTAGCACTATTTGTTTTTGATCAATTTTATTCTTAATTTTGGTGATTAAATCAATAGTGGCCGAAAGAGTATTTGAAAGTGGACGAAAACCATATTGTCTACTATAAAAAAAGTCTTTTGATTTTAAGAAGGTTTCCAGGCGTATGTAGATCACTTTTTCGAAAATTTTAGAGATAACTGGAAGTACCGAAATTGGACGATAATTACAAGGGTCAAACCTGTTGCCAGATTTATAGATAGGAATAACTTTGGCTATCTTTAGGCTACTAGGGAAAGTGCTAATTTCAAAACTTTCATTG